CCCGCTGCTGGTGCAACTCAAGCACATGGGTCGAATAGGTGAAGGACCCCCCGCACCGCAACTGCTTGCTTTCCTGTACACCAATGCCAGGGGGCCTTCGTGGCTGGCTGATGCCCAAGACCATCAGTATGTTTTTTCTGCTTAGTTGGGTTACAAAATTGTGGCTTTTCCGAGTGCAAAGTTGAAGGTCGAACTAGAGAGCAACCACGCCCAACTGCCGGCCCACAGTGTCTCAGAACGACTGTCCCAGCTTGGCCATGTTAATGAATCTAAAGGGCGTTCTGGTCTCATCCAGTCTGTACACATCAACCAACTTTGAAATACACTGACATGTTCGCGAACAGCTGCTGGCAGCATTTTGTTTCGCGTCTCGCCCGCTGTTCGGCCAAAGCCCTCGGTCAAGCTTGGCTAGCGAGAAAAACATCAGATCGGATCTGGTCGCCGAGGGCGAGTTTACACGCCAAAAGCGCGCTGAATGCGCGCAGCATTGGCATCTGTACACCGAGGCCATGCTTAAAAGCAGCGCTGGAATCTATCAGCCCCAGGCTTGTGGCCTCACAGGCATGTCTCAAACAGCAGGTGAGCAGGACTCGAAACCTTCGCATTTTTTGGGTCTCATGTTGCGTCTGGAAACTGCCCTCAAAGGGCGTCTAATGCTTTGAGACACACCCAGATTGCTCTCTCTACAATTTGCCAGGCAAAGGAATTCGTAGCTGACCGGTCACCCTTCAGGGGCGCTTCCCGTACAGCGGTCATGCCGTGAATTTCGCGTGCTCTCTGTACAACTGGGCTGGAGACGAAGAAGTGCATGATCATCTTCAAATGAAGCATTAGTTTCAAGGTTCTCACAAAAAAGCTAGGGGTAAGATTCCCCAATGATTTGTCAAACTGGCCAGTTTTCCTAATATAGAAGCCCAATTGTTGGGAAACCATCCTATTGTCGTCCGCAACGTTCATGAATCCAGGGTGATGATCTCGCTAAAGCAACTCTGGCGCCCAAGACTTCACTAAGTTTCGCGTCTGTGTGGGACAAAGTTGACTGGGGACACGGCAAACCCGAAACTCTGACTTGAACAACCGCGCTAAGCATGCTTTTGGTGCTCCAGGTCCAAATTCAAACCCACACGGACCCTCAGGGTGTTGATGCCTTGCTGAGGGCAACACAAGGGCTGAAATTAGAATGGGGTGGGAGGCTTTCAAGCTACATTGGATCATGATCACAAGAACATAATGTGCGTTTCTACCCTGCACCTGTGGGAGGGTACTCAGAAGATCAGTTTTCTCTTGGAGGGACTCCCTGTCGTCTGCCGTGCTAGTGGTAATTAGAGAGAGTACCTGATAATCTGGCCCTTTTGGTTGGCCCTCTTGGACGTGAAACATCCAAACACATCACGCCATCTACGTCTCTATGCCGAGCCATTCGCCCACGCACCGGGCCGAAGGGCTCTCGAAATACCGGAAGGCTTGCCAAATGCTGATCTGGGTGAGAGAAATCTCCGGATTTGCTTTAAAATCCAAATCACTAGGCTGGGGGTTGTAAATTACTAGGCTGGTGGTTGACTAATAAAAACGAAATTATGAATCGCGATCCGCTGGTTTGTGGTAAACACAAACTGACATTTGAAGGAGAGGACAAACACTAGCATCGGTGAAGAATACAGACTGCCAGCATCAGGCACGTCACTTAATTATGAGTCATCCCGTCACCGGCGCTTGAACCTCCAATGGGTGAGGATGGAGTTCCCCAGCACAAATTTCGCCGCCTCAGAGTTGTCAAAGCAACACCTGCGCAAACCGTTTTGCCAAATCCTGTGCCCGGGGTTTGGATTTTCTTGGGTAACCCAACTTGAGAAATGGCACCTTAAGGCCTTTAGGCTTTCGAGGCGCCCCAAATTGATTTTTTTTGATGGCAACACAAAAATCAACCTGCGTTTGCATAAGCATACAACTCTGAAGTGCATCGAATGGGCGTGATACCGCTCACAAGTCAAACGCCGGCTTGGGGGCATTCTACCCAAGTGTACGCGTGTGATAAGCCTGTTTCCGAGGGTCCTTGAGGTTTCTTGCCCGCGCTGTTCCTGGTCGATTAGAGTCGGCCAGAGCCGGCGGCGCCTTTGTGGTGGAGTGCCGATTCTGGAGTAGATGAGGGAAAGATCACATGCCGAGCCCGACGAAACTCCTTTCTACTTCTGCTTGTTCCGACTCATGCAAGCCTATGTCGGTGCTGGTGTGTGTGTGTGTATCCATCCACTGCTCATTTGCTCATTTGCTCATAATCAATCAAGGATCACTCACCTAGGCACGATGTCTGAACCGACATGGACCCTGTAGACATAATTTAGACGGGGATTGCAACCCAGCATCTGAGCAAATTTCTGTACTTCTCAAACCAGGAAAAAACAAAAAAAACAGCAATCCAAGCAAAATACCTTCATCATATCATGGGGTGAGCTCGTCGAACCTTGCCCGGCCGCATTTCTGGGGCACGAATGTTAATCAGGGACCCTGGGGCGGACATCTTGCGGGATTCATAGCCACTTTAGATCCACTTTGGACTGTTGGAGGTGGACATGTATGTTTGACATGGGAATCACCAATCTAAAACGTGGGTTGGTGAGCTGGTGACCTGGTGACCCGACATCATGTCGGGAGATCATCCACCCAGCACTCCAGGGCTGCGGCCAGGGGAGCCTTTTCGGCCAGCTCCAAAGAGATCAAACCATCAAACGGGTCCTCAAGGCGGAGCTCGCTTGACTGGTGGATCCCTGTCCCCGTGTCTTTTTTCTCTTGTTTTCTCCGGATCCCAGAATTGAAACAGTTGAAGTGTTCGTTTTCAGTCCCCGACTTCAGCAAACAAATCAAGTTCCAGGGTCCGCTTGATTCATGACTTCGAATCCAGGCACTCTGAAAGTCTGGTTTTGAACGGTTCAGTTTCCCGTTTGTCGGACGGTTGAACGCGCACTGGGCCTTGCCACCTGTGAGGAGGGCCCGGAGCAAAACGGGCACATCCAAGCTACATCTGTACCCTACCCCCTTCCAGCCCAACAAAACAATCCTTAGCCATTCAAAGTAACACTTACATAGCGCTAGAAAACCCATTGGTGACCGACTATGGCAAGCGTCTACAAGCGCGCCGCCGGGGACTATCGATGGCATGAAAGACAGACAAGGCAAAGCACAATTTGTGTTGTCAACATTTCTTCTGTCAGCGAAGAGGGTTGTTTCGTGTTGTCTCAACATCCTCTAAGACGGCTGATCCCCGAAGCACAAGGAGCCCCCCCACACATTTGAAGGGTGCCCCGGAGACCCTTGGAACTTCGCATCGGAACTGTTTGGTGCCCTCACTGAAATGAGCCTGCAGCTTGTGGCCTCAGAAAATTCCCTGGCCTTCTGGTGGGTTTCTGCAAAGAATCACTGGAAAGAATGAGAAGCCACTAAAGTTAGATTGAAATAAGACATGGACCCCAATGTAAGAAACCCCGTTGCCCATATTCTCAAATGTTCGCACAAAGTAAGGTAGCTAGATCCTAGATGGGTTGGAGGTAACGCTCACTTCTAATGGGGGGTTCTCAAAATTGTAGACCCGTGTGTGGATGGCTCTAAACGGAACCATCAGGAAACAACAGAATTCTTAGGGGTCTTCTATATTGAGAAGCACTACAGGAGGTAGTCAGCGAGGAATGTTCCCTTGGATGTTTGTCGCGATGGTTATCACCGCTACCAGCAAAGATCATCCAATGCAGTACCTTTTGGCTCAATGTACACCAGGGTGAACGTAGGTGGCATAATTCCTTTTCTGTGGGTGAGCAAAGGGGATGGAAACAACTAGGAATTGCGCCACCTACTTTCAGCCTTCTACCACGGAGTAGTTCTCCTCGAGCCTGCAACAACCCTGGTACCCTTTGGGGACCCGCCCGTTTGCCCAGCGGGACCCCGGACTTATTTCTTGGTTGACCCACAAACCCGAAGGCAAACTGTGATACTCCAAAAAACAACTGGAAGACCATACGTTAAACAAGGTAGTCTTAAGGAACAACATGTAGAACATGTGGGTGAATATTGAGGGCTTCCCATAAAACCCTGGCGACCCTTCAGCATTGTCTAAAAAGCGAGCGCATCAGCAAACTCTGGCGCGGATTTTTCCGGACAAGCCTTCTTCCCTTGTGGCTTCAGGTCCAAGTAGTGCTTTTTACTCAAACGGCGCTCCCAAACGGCATGAATTCCTGAAACTTGGGGAGCTTGCATGTTGAGCCCATGAGGCAACAAGACACATGCACAAACATAAAGTGTCCGAGGAGCAGATCCACTGCGCGTCACCTCAGGTGACTGGCGCAGCCTGAGGCAAGACGAACCCAGACGTTGTTTGAATCAACTGCTTCCCCAGCAGATTCATCACCAGGCGAAACTCACCTTTGAGCCCAGGTGATATTTGACACCAAAGGGAAATCGAGAATCCCAGACCTGCGGTGGCCTGTTGCCGTGGGCGTCTGGAAATGTGGGATCCCCGGATGCCAAAAAAAAACACTTGCCCTTGCTTTGTTGAGTTTCAAGGGGACACCTACAAAGCCAAGAAAATCAACGTGAACCACTGGAGGTCTGGATAGTTGGATAAGGGGTGTCTAATTGAGGGGCCCAACCAAGCGTCTCTCGATATACGCAAACAGCCGGCAATTGTGCTGTTGCCCGGCCTCCCACTGACTCTTGTAGAACTTGTGCAGCATCAACACGTCAGGTTTCGCTGGATCCACGTACAGCCAGAGCCCGCTTGACACGTGCCTGGGCAAGGAAAAGGTGAGGATTTGGGTCAAGAGACGCAGCACAAAAGAAGCAAAGTGCCGGGCATGGAACAAAATCAGCCTGCACTCGCTTGGTTCGTACTGTTGGTTTCAGATTAGTTCTCCTGCATATTAGGCTCAACGACTTACCCAGGGTCCATAATTCACAACAGCCGCGCTGCTGGAACGCAACCAGCGCTGCTGGCATCCTGTTGCTGTCGCTCCTTGGATGGTTGTGTCATGTTTGCTCCGCAAGGCCACGGGTTGAGCTGAGAAGAGGGAACCTAAAGTACAGAGCCGTGTTCATCAGACTAGGCGTCCTCTCCCCTAACAGGTGCGTTTGTTCACAAGTGAGGTCCTGAATTCAGGAAACCTGGGTCCGGCAGTCCTCACCTTGCGAATGGCTTGTCACAACCCCTTCAAACATTTATGAGCTGGGCCGAATTTTCAGGTCTGTGAGCGCATGTTTGGCATGGGTCCTAAAGGACTCTGTCTCTCTGGTCAGTTAGTCAAAACCGGGCTTTACCTTGCCCACCTTTAGTTGGCACACTCGGCCTTCCCCATAACTGCTGGTTTCACCCAGGGGTCATCAGGTAGCCAACCAATCTGGGGTGCGGAACTGACAAGCTTGAACTTTCTGGCCTTAGACTAAAACGAGAAACAAGCCTAGTGGGAAGCAGTTCAAAGGTTGGAAACCGAACACGCAAGCAACCACTAGAATAAATCAGCATCGGCTCGAACACACGGCGCTTGGAGGGTCATGCAATTGGTGTGAATATGCCTGTAAGCCACATATCCCCGTGGTAACACCAAGATTATCGACTCTTTATGTGTGTGTGTGTCTTATATATGTGGCCGCCATGTTGCAGGGGTACCTAACGGGAACGCAGCTCGAATAACCCTTGGTTAATCAACAGGGGGAGCGTCAAATTTACAGAGCGGTTCCTGTGGGGGAAGCCTCCCCAATAAATCCGCTAGTCAACATGGGGTCAACAACAACAAGCTTCCTTTCAACTTGCTTCAAAGGCCCCGGTCTTCCATATGGAGTGTCTTTTGGATGGAAGCCTTTTTTGGGGTTTAAAGGGAAAGCAACAGGAACACCACCCATTTGCGGGTCACCCTATTTTACGACAACCCCCCTATTTGTTTGTGAGGTTGTCTCTGTCTGTGTGTGTGTGTGGGAGCTGTCCGCCCCGCATTGCTTTCAGCCGACATCGAACAATTGCTGTGACTGCTTCGTCTCTTTTTCGTCGCCGTCATGTTTCCTTTCCCTCAGTTTCTTCTGTGCAAAAGCTGTATGCAACCGCAAAGCAACGTCTGGTTTGTTCAGCCACCTTGGACCATTGGTATACCTGAAGTCTCCAGTATCCTTAAACAATAGGGTCATCGACGTCATGTCCAAAAATATGGGTGCCATGTCCAATTCTTACCTGTTGCCAAGTCACCCTGGTGACACAAACATGAACCCTGTTTGGGTTTATTCTCAGTGGAGAACCCAACAGAAAGCTCAGGTGGCATCAGCATGCAAGCCCCGGAACACTTGAACCCTGGCCCGCCTCCGAACCCAGCAATTTCTGCCCTATAGACCCTAAATCTCTGTGTTGGGACACAAGGGTCAAGGGGGTTTTCAAATATGGGTTTTGGAGGTATGGAGGTCAATGGGAATATACTTACAAGCTTGTATATGTAGTATATAAGCCTGCATACCGTACTGAACAACTAAAAGGACGGCCATGGAGACAAGGCTATCCCCTGGCTCCCCGCAGATTTCGATTTGATTTCCATGGGAAGAAAAGGTTAGCTCTTCTTGGGTTGGTTGATTTTATAGGGAACCTGCATTCAATCAAAGGAACAAAGGCACCCTTTCAGTTGGTACTTGATCTCCAACACAAGAAGCTAAAGCTCAGAAGCCCAGCTGACTTAAACGGGGAAATCCATCCATCCCAAAGAAAGATCAGAAGCCCAGCAAAAGCTGCCACGCCCGGAAAGGTCCCTCGTCGAGTCTCTGCAGCGTGGCATCCGGGTGCCATTTGAAGTCGCTGGACCGGCCCAACCCGCCGTCGCAGGAGACGCTGTGGCTCTCTACGCCTCGAAAGTCAATCGGGCCGAACCGGGGGCATCTCATTTCCTGAGTGGATGGGTGAAAAACGGTCCAAACTGTTTGTTTACCACGAAAAATGGAAAGCCCAAAAGGTTGTTCAAGTCCATGAACTCAAGGAGTGAGGTATCCAATTATCTGCAAATGCAACCACCCAATGGGTAGGACCCCAACAAAAGGACCATGAGCTCGATTTTTCCAGCAGATCCTGCAAGAGGGAGCCCCTTTTGGGAACAAGCTTTAGTCAAAGCCCACCAAAAAAGAAGGGAACACGGGTGCCACTGAACAACTGAGCCAAGGAACGGGGGAGCCTCACCAGGGCAAAGCATACCCACAGACCAGCCCCAAAAACCTTCATGTCGCGGTATGTGAGGTCGCCTTTGGCTTGCTCAATGTAAACGCGACTCGCTGGGCAGACCATCTCTTCTAATCAGGATGCATCTGCCGAAGGTCGTGATTGGCGAGCGGCCGCCCCGGTAAAAACAACAGCACGGGCGGTATGTGCAAGACTCAGTCTCAACATTGCAAACAACTCTGACTAGGTTTGCACCCTGAAGGTGTATTCCTTCAATGCCTGTCACCGAGAACTGGGTAACCTGCTTCCAACCTCCGAACCACTACAGCCCTACACCTAAGCCCGGAACTGCCTCACACCCCTCCGGGTTTCAGTTTTGGGTTGCCAGGACGCAAACAACCTGTGGGTCCAACATTCCTACCAAGAACAGTGGGTGTTTGGGCATCCTTTTGGGGGGAAGGAACAAATAAACACAAAAACATAACTGTGTCTGGAAAAGCACGAAACAATATCCATCCTCTGTTGGATTCCTTTTCGGAGGACTTGAAACCGAAAGGATATTTCTCCCCCCTTGAAAGGGACATCCAAAGAACTGCTTAAACGATGAGAATCTAAACATGATTCCACTGTTGGTGTAAATCAGGCAACCAGTGGACCCACACTTTAGGGTTAAAAAACAGCATGGCTGCTGACCCGAAAGGAGGGGTATCGGAGCCACAATCCTCGCTTAGGCCCAGCAACCCCATGACTTTCAGTGAGAAAGAAACCAACACCCGCAGCCTTCAGCTTGGACACCCACCCGAAGCTTGGACCTGAGTGCTGGACCCTTTGAAGCATCAGCTGGAAAACTCAAAGGGCCCACCCCTGCCCCCTGAAACACCCCCCACCCCACCCACCCCCCACCCCACCCCCCACCCACCCCCCACCCCACCCCACCCCCCACCCCACCCCCCACCCCACCCCCCACCCCCCACCCCCCACCCCCCCCCACCCCCCACCCCCCACCCCCCACCCCCCAACCCCCACCCCTCCCCCCACCCCCCCACCCCCACCCCCCACCCCCCACCCCCCACCCCCCTCATGACTGCCAGGCCTACCCAGCTGGACACGAGCTCCAAGAGCCCCGCACTGAGGAATTTCCCCAAGGCCGGCAGGCCTTCGTGCTCGAAGCCCAGCGAGTCATCCTGACCCGCGCTGTGTGACCCCCTTGTATCCCCGCAACTGGATATGGCAGCTTTTAAGAATGGTGGCAAGGCAATTGGGTTGGTATAAGAAAACTCCGTGGAAACCGTTGCCATTTCAAGGGAAGGATTCAATTGTGAGAAACATTGCAAACGATCAGAACTCGTTGATCAGAACCCATGAAAAGGGTCCTGCTTTCCCTTTAAAAAAAGCAGCCTCTTGGCCCAATTGTCATAGGAGCCAACCCTCGCCAACACCACCCCTCCAAACAATTCAGGCAATCATCGGGGATTGTTCATGAAACAGGGGTCTCACGGGGTCTGTCTCAGGTGCGGGGTCCTTTTCGGTGGTTTGTCCTGGTGGAAAGGAGATGATGGCCCAACCAAAACAACACAAAAACAGAATCAACACACAAATTCCAACTAAGCACGCCCAGAATGAGGTTGTCACAGAAGAAATTCAACGAGTGACCTTTCAAAGGGACGCTCTGTGAGGTTCCAGCTTTGCCTTGGAAGCCTCTGCAAAAGGCAGCACTCACACAGAGTGAATTACCATGTTGATAGAATCCGATTCTCTGGTTGCTGCAGTCCGCCAAATCGATTCAAGGCTACCATTGCTATGATGCTGCCACCGGACATCAGGGTTCCCCGAGTAAGTAATGGGCCTTGCTCATTATTCCCCAGCTCATTTGACCACTGGGCTACATGGCGACATTCCGTGCTGGAGTTTTGGGCTGTTTGAGCTTTAGAGAAAAGAAACAACAAGCTACAGGCGTCTCCCCATCCGGAATCAACAAAAATAATCAAATACCTTTTAAGGATCGTACTGGCTGATTCCTGGAATTACGACAGCTATGGAGTATGGGAAACTTGTTTCAGAAGCAAATATTCGACGGCCAATGTTGGCAACTTCTCGCAACGGACAGACCAAAGGAGTCGGAGCTTCCGAAGAAATCTCAGAGCGGGCCTCATTTGCATCACACAAGAACACAAGACGCTTGGAGCAACATTCACAACCCAGCAAGACACGCCTTTCCCGTCCTAGCAAAGTCACCTGGAAAACCAGCATTCCTTGAAGGGACGTTGGTATTTGCAACAGGCAGATCATGGTTTAAATCGGACGGTAGTCACCTTTCATGTGCGTGGATGTGTGCGTCCAAGAATTCGGCGCTGCACGGTTCCTTTTGGGTTCGCCAACCACCGAACGGCTTCGAGCCCCCTTTTCAACCTGTTTCAAGGCCCACGCCGCATTCGTGTCTAAGACACAACACGCACGCGCCCTATTTCTCCCAACATGTGGACCATTGGGGCATGTTGCAGTGCCTCCCTTAATCATCATTATTTGTCCCAAAGGCAACGGGTCCCCTACAGAATCAAGATGATGTTTTCACCAAGTCACATACACTGCTAGCCGTAGAAGAACATAGTACCCAAGAACCCAAGAACACATTCTGTTTAGAGGAACCTCCTTTTGAGGGGGAGTTTTCTTTTTGTTCTACCGTTTTTGGAGCCCCTTTCAAGGCAGCTCTAAATGCCACCGTTCCAAGGCCACCGCCGGAGGAAGTCAGTCCCACAAATGCCCCTTCCAGATGTGGGAGAAGAAGGTTCTTCTTTCTGGTATAATTGATTTTAAAGGTTATGGACCTACACATGCAATAATTCCACCTCAAACCAGGAATCCAAGCAAAGGGCCTACATGTTAGCTCGTTTTACTGCGGTGAGCTTGCCAGAACGAAATCGCCCAGCCCGTGTCGCCTGGTTCAGGTGCGTCACAAACAGCGATACAGGCCGCTCTGTCCTGCGAATGTCTGGTCGTTTTCTGGGCGAAGAAGTCTTCACATTCCAACATTTGGGTGTCTTTTTTTGGAGGGTACAACTTTCTTGGTTGCTTGAAAGGAAAACCAAAAGGACACCCGCACCCATTTCGCTGTAGGTTCGCAACCGGAAGAGGACAGCCAAAGATTCGTTGGAACCCAAGAATCCTTTTTGGCCGCACATGCAACGAAGGAACACACGTGAAAGGGACAGGACATGAGAGAACATTTTGGATAGCAAAGCTACACAAATGCCTTCTTTGGGCCATGTCCCATGGAGGTCTGTGATTGTTTAAAGGGCACAGGACCTCGCCATCCGCGAGCTAGGCGCGCAAGTTGGCTGAAGGGCTAGCCTATGAGCATGGGTATGTGTGGGGTCAAAGGAAACCGGAGGGAAAGAAAACACAGACGCATACACGTCCTTGGGCAAGCTATTTGGGTTTGTCCGAACCTTGGAAGGAACCCTTTCGAGTGGTTGAGACTTGAAGCCAAAAGGAACACCATCCCATCGTTACGGCTCTGGTCCAATGGCAAAGAACGCCAGGGTTGCTCCAAAAGATCCGAAGAGAAAAAACACTTTGCAGAGCGGTGCCTGGCGCTCTGGGAAACCTGCAGAGTGGCCCTTGCAGAAGAAAGGAACCCATATTTTGGAGCTTCACAATTTGGGCCTCAGAGGACTCCACTGAAGAACTGGGTTACCCATCCGCTAGTTTCGCATTAACTCTGCTGAGGCGCCGACATGATGGGCTCGACGCTGCGGTTCTTCTGTACGACTGACAGATACCTGGGTGGCAACAGCTCCAAAGCGGCAGGGGTTGCCTCAAAGGGCACGAACTGTTTCACCCGGCCTGGGAACCCTGCTAGCTGACCTCCCTTTGCCTCTTTGAAAAACCCCTTTTCAAGACGCCCGCTACTTGAGAATACGGGTGTGTCCTTTTGGAGGCTATCCAGCCGTAAAGCTATTTTTGTAGGGAATGGTTGTGGAGTCATTCCCTAACATTCTCTCAGAACAAGCAAGTAGACATTCGCTCTTCTGCGGTCATGACTGCCGGTTGCCAACAGGCGGAAAGGGAAGACTAGTCCCATGGTCCAAACCGCTTCAATCCACCCCAAACCTCCAGCGGATCTCTATGGTAAAACGAGGCTTGCCCCTCTTTTTGATTGGTTGAACAAAACGGGATCCTCCGAACACACGGAATTCACTGGCACTGCAGGTCTGAAATCCCGAAACGGTCGGATTTTTGTCATCCCAGGGTGGCAAACAGTGAATCGTGTTTTGCTTGCCAGTAGAGGAGCATCCGTGTTGTTCCACAGATTCACCAAGGTAATTCTGGTCAAGTCAAAGAGCAACCAAAGATTCCAGGCTGATTTGGAAGCTTGCCCTGCAGTTGTTCGGGACTCAGAGCACAACCAAGAAGCCGTAAAGGTTCCCGGTATGTTTTGGGTGACGCATGAAAATCCAAAAACCGAGCATGAAAGGAACCTTCACATGCCTGTGCAATCCCTTGGCGCACAAGATGGTCATACAAACCCCATGTTCCGGCGAAGTGAAGCGATCAGCGAGTCACATGTGCCAGTGACAGGATGGGATTGATCAATACTCCTGGCCCCCAAATTACCATGGGTAACTTTTCCCATTTAGTACGAATTAGCATCTTTTCAGTGGTTTGCCCCAATGGTCATCCCATGTAAAAGATTGTTTGATAGACCCCAACAAAACAGCTTTCCGGGCCAGCCCTGTTGTTCTTCATGCCCAACATGAGCAGTTTGGCAATGGCCCCTTGAGAAATAGGTGTTTCCCATAAAACGGGACCCCAGCAAACGGATGGTTTCCTTGGGTTTCTTTCCCACAACCATCCAACACGGGGGTCCCCTATATGGTGTAAAATAGAAAGTCTGGACAAATGAACAAATGCACGCCCCTCTTTCGGCGTTCTTTTGAAGGTATGTCAAGAACTACGGGCGATTTACTGTAGCACTTAGTTATTCTTAGCAACTTCGAGTGGTGTGTCGAAAGGCCGCCTCTCACACAATTCCCTCAAGAACCTGCGATTTTCTGGTGGGTTGCAACAGAACTGCCACTTTGGGATGTCCAAACAGCCGAAGAACAAATCGCAGCCCCCGGCAATCCAACCCCACGCCCGCTTCCTTTGCAGTGAGTCGTGGGGTCCCGGGCCGCTGGGTTTGGAGCTCCCGGAGGAAGATCCGAGCCTCATGCCTTCGGCTCGAAATTGGGAAGCCATTTGGAAGCCATGGGTGCCATGCCCTGTGGATTTCCATGGGAAAAAGAAGTGGGACCCTTTTTTGGTTGACTTTAAAGGGGGATTCCAAGAAGTCCCGAGTCGGACGCGCCTGATCTCCGGAGCAGCCGCGGTCCGGCTCTCTGGCAGTGGTGTCGTCCTTGGCTTTTCTCACTCGACCACCACCACCACCACCACCACCACCACCACCACCACCACCACCACCACCACCACCACCACCACCACCACCACCACCACCACCAGTGGGGAACTCGCCCCCGTCATACTTTTGCAACGGCTGAACTACCGCAACTGCAAAGGGATGGAAAGGAGAGAGGAACAAAGGAGCCAACAAGGCGAAACAAACTCCGAAATCAAACAAATACGGTGCATTGATCACCTTCAAACTTAGGCTCAGGTTGCCTGCAAGGAGTGAAACGGCTCCAATAATTGCTGGTTTCATCGCCCAATGCCAATTGTCTACCCTTGTGGCTTGATGATTGCTTTCAGTGTTGGAGCTACCCAGACCAGGGAAACAACCAGCATCTCACTTGGATCGGTGCTTCGCCCACATCTGTGCAAAAGGATGGGAAGAAACTGCATACGAAGTGGCTAGCAGCAAAATTTCCATGCCCCGTGCCCGCATCTCTGTTTCTTCGATTTTGGAGTTTGCCAGGGCTCAGCTGGCACGCCTTGCACGAAGGCTGTCGCTCGATGCCTTGCCGGAGGTGGGCGATGACTGGAACCAGGTGACCGCACGAGGGTTTGAACAAATTCTCCCCAAAACTTAGAAATGAAACTCGAATTGCTTCGCAGGTCCGTTGTCTGGGGAAACTCCCTATGTGGCAGGCGAAGGATTCCTGGGCAACAAGGGACACACGCCTTCCCCGGATCCCTCAAACCCTCGCCGCAGCCGTAAAGGACTCTTTGGGGGGGGGGTCGTAGAGTCCGTACATCTGACGCGCAACTGGTACAATCTCCCGGGGGCCTAAACAACAGTGGTACTCACAGAAACCCTTCCTTTGCATCATCCAAAGAAGAAAAAGAAAGGAGTGGCATTCCGCCATCAACAAGGTAACACGGCTTTTTGGAGCCCAAGAAATCGTGGCTGCTTCGCGTGGCCTGCGTGGCAATTTCTGCAAGCAGGGTGCGCAAGTGCTCACAACAAGCTTGAACACGTTTGAACATATCAAACCGTATCTACCAATGGGGGTGGTAGCGCACTCACACCGCAAGAGTACAAGCACAAGTTTTCAGCGAACAAGGCCGTGAGCGCTTTTGCAAAAGGCACAGTGCATAGGGCTTCGCGCAGGAGATGCAACACACGATTGTCTTCTTCGCCACTTCGGCTGTTGCTGTAACCGGGATGAAATATCATTCTCTACCCCCAACCCCTCACACTCACAGATGCAACCACAAACACAAACAAACACACAAACACAAACAGGCAAAAACACATACACACACACAACACTATGCAGCCTCCTGTGCGCAAACAACTGCAAGAAACTGCTGGCAGGTGCACCGGCTTACACAGAAACAACAACCAGGCAAAATACAACATCTGTTTACCAACATTGGGTCTGGGAACACCGTACTTCGGGGAAACATCCCTTCAGAACCCCCCCCCCCCCAATTTTAGACAGTTTGTTTGATCACGCCCAAGTTTCAGGAACCACTCGTTTTGCGTTTTACCGCACCATTGAGAAGCCATATAAAGAAAACTTCAAGGTGTCCGATGCCAACCGAGGGGCTTCGCAGCACCCAGCCGACTCCGTCCTAGGCGAGAGTTCTATAGAATCGAAGAGGCTTTGCACTGCTGGGAGTTGAAGGGCCCTCATAGGCGACCCCCAAAAATGTGGTTCCCGCTGGTTTCCCTGACTCCTGAGTGGCCTTCATGGCAGGTCAGCTTGTTTTACACAGCTACATATGATCTCCTGCGTGCTGCTGTCTTGTTGCCGTTTTTCATACGGTGGCTTTGCGCATCGCAAAAAAAAAACATATAATCTCCCTGTTGGCCGTATATGCCCGTAGAGACCCCGCATCGTAGGCACCTTCACTGTGAAGATTGGTGCCCAAAGAAGCCTCGTATGCGAACCGGTGGTGACTGCCTGAGCTCGAATGAGAGACATACCAGGTGCTCCGTCTCCAAGAGCCAGGCTTAGGTTTGTCCCAAAGCCCCCGCCCCACAAACACAAGGTCTCCTTATGTGTCTTTTGTCATAAGCCCAAGGAATATCCTCAATGATTGGCCCATAGCTGCCTCGACATGTCAAGGGACCCCAAATGCATGGTTTGCTTCCGGCGTCCATTTGGAACTTATAACTCCAACAACCATGAATAAATACATATGTCATGCCAAAATCACAAACAAACAAACAAACAAACAAACAAACAAAAAGAGAAAGACAAACAGAAAGAAAGAGAGGAAACACTAAGTAAATAAAACAATCTATAAAGCACATTTCAAAGAGATACACAAGGTGCAACAACAACAACGAACCACAACAAATAAACATGTGTGATGTCATAACCACATAAATAAAGCAATCCAAAATGAGATAAACAAAGAACGATATGATCAACAGAAGGCAATACAAATGAACATGAACCACAAGAAAGAAAGAAAATACATAAATACAAAGAAAGAAAGAAAGAAAGAAATAAAGAAAGAAAGAAAGAAAGAAATAAAGAAAGAAAGAAAGAAATAAAGACAGAAAGAAAGAAAGACAGAAAGAAAGAAGGAATAAAGAAAGAAAGAAAGAAAGAAAGAAAGAAAGAAAGAAAGAAAGAAAAAAAAGAAACAACGAAATAAACAACTACATAACAATAAAGACAGAATAAGAAAACAACGGAGAGAAAAAAAAAAAACACTAACCAACCAACCAACCAACCAACCAACCAACCAACCAACCAACCAACCAACCAACCAACCAACCGACCGACCGACCGACCGACCGACCGACCGACCGACCGACCGGCCGACCGACCGACCGACCGACCGACCGAGAGAGAGACCGCCCGACCAGCCGGCCAACCAACCAGACAAATCTCAAACAAGCAAACAAACCAAAACAAACAAAGAAACGAAACAAACCAAACAATCAAGCAAACCAACAAACAAGCAAGCAAACAAACACAGAAACCACCAAGCCCCCAAACAACACCCTCACATGTCCTGTCTGTGCATTTTGACCCCGTCCTTCCACGCCAATTGCCTTGGTCGACCACGCCGGCGGCGGGTTCGCGCCTTGGCTTCCCAGGTCGTCACTCCACATTCCACGGCTGCGCGTATCCCAGTGAAATTGACACAGAGCGAAACATGGCCCCGCACCCAAAGGAGATTCACCCATCCTTAGCTGCATCTGAAAAAACACATGTGCTACATACTTGCTAATCTTGCTAATCGCACATAGTCAAACTTCAACAATGAGTGAAACTACTTCTGACTCCCAAGTCATCTATCACGCGCTGCTCTGGCAGATCAGTCAGTTTGCTTTGGCAACGCTCTGAACATCTCAACGCGTCCGAGTGAAGGCAAGTGTGAGTGGCGGTCATATGTGCATGGCAGAGGGTAGTGTCCTCAAATGGGGAAAAAGAACAAGACATCTCCACATGTGCCCAGATCTACATAGAGCCTCTTTGAGGTTTGTGGTTGCTCCTTTGATTGGATTGGCAAACAAGAACAAGGAACGGTCTCCCAAAACAAGGACAACTTGCTCAGTGTGGAATGAGTCAATCATAATGGTGAATCGTCGCACGCTCGTTTGCGCAACATGTCATCGCTTATGGCCATTCTTCAACCATAAATCTAGGATCCAACCCTAAACCTAGGATCCAACCCTAAACCTAGGATCCAAACACATTGCCATCATCATGTTCGTCAAGGGTAAAGATGCAAGATGGTACCAAAAGTTGACCCAGATTGGCGAATGGCTTCAGGTTCAGTGCCCACTTGACAAACGGGATACGGCCAAAGACGGATCAATCGACGGATCGAGCCATAGCGGAAATGATATCATGTAACATAAGGCCAAAACACCGAAGGGTTACCTGTGACTTGCCTGGTTTCGGGGTTTCCTCTGGCAGCGATCAGGGCGAGCCAGCGAAAATCAGGCGGGTGGCGCAGATCAAGTTGCCGAGCATCCTTACAGCTTCTTGAGCCAACAGGCTGAGGCGACCGAGTGGCATCCAAAACTCGGGACCCTGACTTGGTATCTGCCGAAAAAAGTGTTTCCACAATAGGACCCCCCATTTTTGGGAGGTACCTAGAAAGGAAAACAGGACTCCCGGCGCGTGGGGTGGAGGCCCAATGGACGCGGGTTCAGTCTTGCCCAGAATGGAATCGGATTGGCCTCCATCTCGACGAGGTCTACAAGCTCCATGTCTTCCACCATGTCCTGGCGGTACACTTGGAATGATAGGGATCAAAATTGGACTGCCCTCAGATCCCCTGCTAAAAGTTTAACTTTTAGTGGGTTAAACGGAACCCCCCACTAAACACCAAAAGGCTAAAAAGCTAAGAGGATGGCTGGGAGCCACCAAAAAAAGTAGGACGACGACAGCTAAGTTTAAAGGCCGTGGATGGCAACAATAGAAGGCGGCCGGGGGGGTGTCTAGAAGTGGCGGGGTACTAACAACTTAGCTAACTCAAGCAGCCAGCGGAAATTCCCAGAAAGCTGCCGAGTGCAACGGCATCGAAGTGGCTGGAGTCAGACGTGCCGGCTCGACCATCTTGTTGAGGAACACAACGATGTTCGGCCTAGCCATGGGTCACTCAGCTTGTATACGTAAATAATCCAAACTCTGCAAAGAAGTCTACCCAAATCCGTGGGCAAAATCATGAAAGCTATTTTTCTCTATGTCTGGTTGAGCCTATCCCTACAGCCTGTTCAAATCGGGGTGTTGACGGTAGCTCATGAGAGCCCCGCATCATGTCACTCCCCCTGGGCTTCTGCGGGTGATTCGGAAAGTCGGCATGTGCAAAGTCTGAAGCTTTTGGCGACATCCGGAAGGCGATTCCCCCAGGCCAAAAACGGTGGACTCTTTGCTGATAAGGACAATCATGCCTTCCCACAAACATGGGACCGAAAAGGACCTCCCTGAAGAATGCGTCTCCTTCAAATCAATGCCAGGCCAGCTCCTGAGGCTTTGGAGATGTGCCATTCTGGTCATGGCTCCCCAAACGAGGAGCCGTGACATTGTTGGTGCAGTGGGGGCTGTAGCCGCAACCCTGGCAAAGGTTGCTTGGATGCTCGTGTGCTTGTCAAATGGTTGGTAATGTTGCTTACAAAGCTTTGCAAGAGGGTGAACTGGATGTTGACTGGAGTTCAACTCCCCCCAAACTGCAGGTGCCGCGCCAAACTGCCGCTTGCCCGTGTCAACTCCCAACGCTTGCAAAAAGAGCTACAACTGATCAGCGGAACAAAGGACACGGTTCTTCGGTTGGTTGGCTGAATTGAAAGAGAAACCCACATCACCTCCCGACCTTCGAGACACAAGCATCGCTGGTCTTTTCTGATCATATGTTTCTCTCGTGCCTGTGGCGCCCTCAGCGAAACTCTCAGGCTGAGGGAGCGCCGATTCCGAATGTCATTGGCAACAAAAACCTGCCGACAGCTTCAATTCGCGCACAGGGCACAGGCCCCTTGGGCGAGCCCAAATTCAGGGGAAATCAGCGGTCTCGCGACTTGGTGCTTTAAGGCCATCGAGGTTTGTTGGCAACACTAAGCCGCATGCAGCTTCAAACACTAGATATAACAGGAGCCACAAACAACAGGCTTTCACCATAGTTCACTGTCCAACTACCATTTGTCAAAATAGGGGGACGCCCAAAATAGTGGATCTCCTATTGATTGTCCTTTAAACCAACCTGAACAGGGTACCATCCAAAAAGCACAGATCCACTGGCCCAGTCGCCTCCGCGATCCCGAGTGCAAGCTGGATTGAAAACTCGGCGAGGCCGATCTGTGCCGTGGTCAAAACTGCTGAAAGGGGGCCATTGGCAAGACGTCCTGATTAGAAAACTTAAAACATAGTGGTCTGCAATAGTCTAGGGGTTGATGAACGTGCTCAGAATGCTTTGACCATGGCTCGAATGCATACTGTGCTTGGGTAAGGTCCCGGGCAGATTCAATGAAGCTACATCTCTCTTGCTTGCCTGCCATTTTGGCAGGAACCAGACCAAGGATGTATCGCGCCAAGGGTGTTGGGGCTCTTACAGGGCATCTCTTCTTCCTTCTTCCATTGCATCATAGGTATACAGGCGTCACTGGATTTCCCCAAATCCAAACTTGCAATTTACTGGTGGTGTCCATTGAAACTGCCACTTTTAGAGGTTCGTAAAACCGATTGCGATGTAAGGGCGGTACATATATCGGGAACTTGTTGACAAGCACACGGACGCTTTGGGGCCCTGGTGTCATCAAAAGGCGCCGCCATCTGAGGGCGTGCCCGAAAGAAAATATGACTGTCAGAAATATATTTATTCAACACATTGTACATTGAGCAAAACGTGCATCGTCACTCCAGCCCACCAAAACGGTAAGGGAATTTGCCTTCTCAAAAGCCCAGTAAGGTTCTATTTCTATTGGTTGGAGTGATATATCCGAAAATACAGCTGTAAATGTAAGTATTCAAGCACGGTGTTTCTCAGGTTGGCTGCAAGGCTACCTCGCGACAAAACCATCCTGGCCAAAAGGAGAACTGGACACATTGACAAAGACCTTTCTAAAGCCGTACTTGCCCAGTGGTTTCCATAGGGCTGTCCTTTGTTTGGTGGTTGATTCCACAAGGACACCCGTGCCAGTTCGGAATCCACTGGGCAAATCTGACTTTCTGGGTATCACCCAGAAAGCAGCACCTACATGATCTACACGTCAGGCAGCTGACTTGCGGGAGCTTCTGGTCATATCCGGGCATAGCAAAATATTGTTTGTCAGTTGCTCAACTCGGCAAGCCAGTGTCTTCCGAAGCCAGTGCAGCCCCTAGTCACCAGGGCAGCTTGCCTTTGCAAGGCCTTTCAGGCTGGCTCAAGGCTCCTTTGCACCTTTCCAACGCCGCTTCACACACGAACCTAAGAGCAACAGCCAAAGTTGACGATAATTACTCCCCGCACAACATCAAGAGAGAAACCCCCAAAGGGGTTCCACCAAAAGAGATTCCTCCAATGGGTGCCAATATTTCGAAGATGTCTCATACCTCCAAAACAGTGCTACCTGACATCACTGCCTCGGCCCTATATTTGGCCGAAGGCTTTCTCGCCGCAAGCCATGGCGATCTGAAGCCATGACAGTGTGAAAGCTAGCGCGCCAGCAAGTACATGGGCAGTCCCAGCGTGAAGCGTTGCACCATATTCCTCGGTTCCGCACACTACTGTGGAGCCTGCCAGGGGTCCTCAAAGACCATGCTGCTGATGGGTTCCGTGTTCGGTTCGTCGAGTGTCAGTTTGGGGGATTGAAAGGGGCGTGCCATCCGTCTGTTGAATGCGGTTTGAGCCCTGGATTTGTGGAAGCGTGGGGCTCAAAGATTGGAACTCGAGAGCCAAACCGACTTGGCAGGTGGAGAATCCGTCTATCATTTTGACCATCTCGTGTTGGCTTCCCCTTTAGAGCCCAAGAAGGGCCTCAAACAAAGCTAGTTTCGACTTGTTCAAACCATTCCCCAGAGCTCCAGTTGTCGTGTAGCGACCATGGCTAGGGTTCCTGGTTGTGTACCCCACCGATGGCTGGTGGGTTTCGGATATTGCTTAGAAAAAGGTACGGTTTGAGATTGGAGATCCTTGGACATCATGCTACAAAGGTCCACCAACCATTCTGAAGGCTCGTCCCCAGCAAAAAACATGTATTGCTACCAATATGTTTCGCTGAAGCATCCAAAATAACGGAGCCCTAGGGGCAGGGTAGGGGAGGAAGCTTTGGATCCTACACTTCTGGATAAGCAAATCACCAAACAAGCTGATCTCGCTTGCATCTAAGGCGCGATGTGGACTCGCTGATGCTCCTCTGCTCCTGAGAAGGAACCCTCCGCTTCGCGTTCGCGAGAATGTATCGCTGGGTCCCCTAAAGTGGCAATTTTGAGGAGGTGGCAGTTTTGCGGAAAGCTGGCATTTAGCCTGCATCGCATCATTTGGCTTTTTTCATGGGAAAGGATTCGTGAATTTGGGCTACCCCGTATTGCATACAATACTTGGAGGCTGAACATGGTTCAGTCGATCTGCTGGGCGGCTCTAAGGAGTGCCCACTCAAGCAATGCCTCTCTGCAAGCCCAGGCAAAGGATCCCCCTCAAACAACGTGGTACTGGAGGCCTGCGCTTCCATGGTGTAACTAACACTGGGCACTCCTCTTGATCTTTGACGGTCCAACTTTTACGTCTCTTACAGCAACTCAGCGAAAGACTTCGGCAGGCGATGTGCTTCTGCCAGAAAGGCATCAGGACACCTCGACGGCATCCAGTTCTGAGTGTGACGTTTAGCCAGAAGGAAACCGAGATGCAGTTGGTGAGTCCTTTTGTGCCCTCAGCATCCCACCCAAGAAACTCGCCAAAAGGACTCACCAACTGCATCTCGGTTTCCTTCTGGCTAAACGTCACACTCAGAACTGGATGCCGTCGAGGTGTCCTGATGCCTTTCTGGCAGAAGCACATCGCCTGCCGAAGTCTTTCGCTGAGTTGCTGTAAGAGACGTAAAAGTTGGACCGTCAAAGATCAAGAGGAGTGCCCAGTGTTAGTTACACCATGGAAGCGCAGGCCTCCAGTACCACGTTGTTTGAGGGGGATCCTTTGCCTGGGCTTGCAGAGAGGCATTGCTTGAGTGGGCACTCCTTAGAGCCGCCCAGCAGATCGACTGAACCATGTTCAGCCTCCAAGTATTGTATGCAATACGGGGTAGCCCACTAGCAACCCAGAGGGGAATGTTGAGTCTACCCATTTGGCAGACGGGCGTTTTGGGGGGGTACTTTTTTTGTGGTAGTGCGCAGGTTGTTAGACTCTTGAGGGCCGAAGGAGGCATATTGTGGATGGACAAAATGCTGCACCAGTTCGTGTGCGATATCTTTTCTTTCTCGACCCAACTCTGGGGGCACAAAATGGTTTCATATGTTCAACCTTGATAGAAAGGAATTTCTGCGACTCCAGATCTGTCCATCCACTTTTTGACCCTACATCAACCCCTCCGACTCCCCAACAAAAATCCGGGGTCCCCGGTCCTGGAAGAGTTGACTCCCCACAAAACCGGGAACTCTCCCGACCTCACTTCCGTGGCTTGGGCAAACAAAAACCACACTAACTTGTTGTTTCCCTCTAGAATGTATCGTCTTCACAACAACCATAACAAGTTCATACACCCAAGAAGTGAGTCATTCATACTTGGGGGCTTCATTCATCAGGACTCATTTTAAAGGACTTAAAAAGGGGAACCCTTCCCCCAAAAAAGTTGGCAAACAAAGGACATCCCAGGCGAACCCTTCCCCAATCAGACACAAAAAAAGGGGAAAGACGGCCACCAGCTGGGCAGCTGGGCCTCTGGGGGTTTGGGCCCTTGGGCCCGCCAAGCGGCGCTGAGATGGGCCTCGCAGCGCAGCTGGACGCGGGAGGCCAGGAACTCGCCTGAGTCCGAGACCGGCAGCGCCGGTCTGGTCGAGTCGAGAGGCAAAGCCAACCCCCCAGTGGCTTCTCTTCTTGCAAAAAGAATACCACAGAGAAGACTCTCTGCAAAAACAAAGCCACAGAGAAGACTCGAAGACTCTCTCTCAGATTTTCTTTGGTGGGGGAAACTGCCACACAGGGGTTGCTCTTGCAACCCAATCCCCAACAGCCCCGGAACCTGCACGGAACCTGCCTTTGGGAGCCACTGACAAACAATAGCGCTGATTCATGGTGTGTGGGGGTCGAGGTCGGGAGCTGTTTCCAAACAGGGGACACCAAAAAAACATGTGTAGTGTATGTGTCCTAAGCATGCTATGTTTAGGGGTGGTTTTCCAGAACACAACAACCAACCTGGAAGAGTGGCTTATGTCAAAGGTGATGCGCAAACAAGATGAGGCTTTGCACGCCTTTGCTATCTTGTTTTGGACTTCCTCGGAAGCTCACCTGATGCAAGAGCCCTTTCGGCCAAGCAAGCAGAATACGAAGTCTGCTAAACCCTATGGAATGCACCACTGCAGATCAACTTAACTTGGAACCCAACAAAACCTTTTTCTTGGAGGATAATATGAATATGCTTTTGGGGGACCCCCTTTAAGGTGCGGCGTACAAATGCAAGAGAGTAAACACAATATAAACGAGATTGAACAAGCCGTTAAAACATGGCTTTGGATGCCTTGGAACAAACAAGGCACCCCATACACGCAACTGCCCGGCCCATCAAAATAACATCCACGCAATTACTCTAAATGGAAGCTTAAGGGGAAATCCCCATATAAAGCAATTTTTAGAACCCCGCTCAATGTTCACTTTTTGTGTGGCTATTCCCCCCCCCCCAAATGACCTGAGTAGCTTCCCCTGAGTATACCCCATATCAGCGATTGGGGCACTTACCTCGGGCCGTACCCAGGTAGCCACAGAGAACCTCAAGAGTGATTTGAGACCGCCTCAAGATGCAACCACTTTACTGTGCTCAGTAGGGAATGACCTAGGGTGTTGGGAATGAGCCTAGGGATTCCCTTAAAGGAAACCCATAGGGGATGCCTTTTCTCGGGGTCATGCCATGTCTCATTCCCTGCCTATCGAACCACACCACTCAGCCCTCCGCAGATTTGGCTCTTGAGCTGGTTGTTGGCGGCCAGGGATCTGCTTTGGCGGCTGGTCAGCGGCATGTTGGTCACCGGATCCGTGTGGCTGTACCGCAAGTGCCTCACTGGCTCCATCAAGGTGACATCATCAAAATGACCTGCTGACCTGCTAGGAACCTGTGGTTCCAAGACAACCGAACCCTGCAGGAATTTGAGAACCACGAGACGAGTCTCGAGCGGTCACAGGAGGCTGATTGCGATCCATGAACTGGCCATTCGGGGAGCCTTGGCTGACTAGCTTACCAGCATTGGGGCAGTGTGGCTAGGCAATGAACTTGGGATTCACACCAGTTGGTTTACTCATTTCCGATCGAGCCATTGGTCCAAATAAACGTGGAAACACATCTTGTCATCGGTAATTTTTGTTCCCGGTGAAGATCCGCCAATTCTCGGGGCCATGGAAACCCAGGGATTGATAAGCCCTGCTCGATTCGGCTACCGGCGGAACAGGGATGTGAGGTGCTACGAGAAGTCGGGCCAAGCGAAACTGCAGTCTTTGGCAGGGCTCCAAAACATATGTTCACGTTCAGTTAGACTGGCCCAAAGGATTCCTGCACGTGAACCACACGTGGGGCGACACAGGGACATCCCTCTGTTTGGAGGGCCGGGGAGGGAAGCGCATTCTGGAGCCATTAGACGCAAGGATTCCAAAGGCCCTTCACAGCAAGTGTTCATTACTGGGATGTTCAACATTCAGCGGCGTGTTTCCAGCGTAAGTGACATAGGAAACTAGCACAACGCGTTGAATGGAGGCCCCTTGTTGTCTCAATTTCCATGCAAAATCCCTAGCAACAGATCTGTGCCACAGCCAGGTCTGGATGAAACTGTAGAGACTCTCTAAGACTCCATTGGCGTCGGACAAAAATCAACACAACACCCACCTGCGCCATCTAATTGTCTCAAGCCATCCCCGCCTCCACCTAGCGCTTGTTCTCTTTTATGCCCAAGCCACGTCTCGATGCAGGCGCGCTCGTAGGTGTTGCCGCTGCCAAAGACCATCACGGGGTCACGGATCAGGTCCAAGGAGATGGGGCACTTGAAATGCCGCGGGATCCTCCGAGCGCCGTTCTCCGACGCGCCCCCGCAGCCGCAACCCACAGAACAGCCGCCTGACTCTTGGGCGGTGTGGCCAACAAATGACCCACAAAGGGGAGACTAAAAGGTTAAAAGGCGGGCCTTGGGAATGGGAACGCAAAGTAAGGCCTTGTTGGGGTTTGGCAACACAGGGGTGGCAGGGGCCTAAAAGGTTGATCCCAGATTCATGCAAAACCAAACAAATCCCCCCATATATATGTATAGTTGCTGTCTTTTTGAGAAAAGAAGGATGCCTGCACAAATAAAGACTGGGATGGTGAGGCTAGCACTCTGGGTGTGGTTCCTCTACTGGATTTACCCAGATGTCAAACAAGGTCTGGAGAAAAGCAAAAAGCGCAACAGCTTTCCATTCTTTTCCAGGTGTAGTCAAACACCCAGACCGCCAAAGGCCACAGGAAACAGGGAATTCGTTTTTGTTGGCAGTTGAATTCAAAAGGAACCCCTTCCCAGCAGGATACAGGTGGAATCCGCCGGGTGTCTGGGGGTACAGTTTTGTTTATCGCTTAGCCTTCGATCTCGGGCCCCGACCCGTCGTCCCGGGTCAAGGAGGAGCTCTTCAGAGCATCGCCCACGAATTGAGTGTCTGCCAGCTCGCCCTCGCGGGTTGCTTCCGCGCACGAGGCAGTCGTTTGCCCGTTTTCCCAAAGGTAGAACATTGTGTCCCCTTCTTGGTTGCAAGGCAGAAAGGTTGGTTGACTCCATGATGAGCGGTTTCGGAAGCAAACCAACAGGCTTTGAGAGGGTCTATGAATCATTCAGGCCCGTCTCAATCAAGCGCAACCTCCCCCATAACTTTCAGGAATCCTTTGCAGAAAGTGGCTCTAATTGGATCAATACGAATGGCTTGGCAATAGAATCGGTGAAAGTCCTCAACCTTTAGAAACATGGGTTGCATGGACCCCAAAGGCTGGGGTGTGGAATGCTCATGGGAGCCACATGCCAGTATGCTTTTCTCAAGGGTTTCCAGAGCTTGACAAAGCTCTAGAATGTCAACTCCGGACTCATTTAGAAGCCCTTCCAATCCGAGGAATTACCCCTGCAATGAAATCACCCTGACTAGTCTGGTACTTCTCTTTTCTTACAACTTTCTGTAACCACGAACTTTGGTCTTGACTCACATGACATTTTGTGTATTGCTCCAGTCAGCCGCTCAGCCCATGTTTGTTTCCACCGTCCGGCTCAAGCCGCGAAGCGGACGCACCTGCGCGAGGGAGGTGCGCTGTCGCTTGGCGGGGGACGGACTGCTCCAAGACTTCCGCTTTTTGGAGATCCAATTGCTGGCCGCCTTGGCACTCAATGGCTTGGACCCATGGGGAGGCGAGTTCTCAAAATTCCAGGTGCTTTTTGCATCTTTGTTGCATCCCCTTCAAAGGCGGTACCTTTGGAGGCACCAGGTCCAACATGCATGGTCGGGGCCCGACTTATGGAAGAAATCCAAGGGCACCCGGAAAAAAAGAAAGAAAAGAGGGCCCAAAATTGGTGTGTGTCTTTCTCTGAAACAAAGAAAGGACCGTCCTTTCGTTCGAGGCGCCGCTAAGGTGGAGCTGGACGCAGCTTCCTGGGGAAGACTCCAGGTGCACCTCGTGATAAGACGAAACACCGCCGAATGGTTTGCTGTCTGCACCCGCACACAATGAGGTCACATACCCAGTCACCCCATCTTTAAAGGGTCGTAGAGACTCCAAATAGAAATGGGTTCGTAAACCTAGGTAAAGTATGCTCCTTGTTTTTCTTACAGCTTATAACCAAACCCAAAACCATGTGGGTGGTACACCCTCTGCTTTGCTTGGCTATTCACTTTGCATGTTTTGCACGGCTGGCTTCATGATGTCATGTGTTTGGGCAGTGAGAGTGTCTTTCGCGAGGTCCGCATGCCGCCTGAAGCCCACACAGGCCAGGGATTGCCTGAAAGACAGGGCATTGCTTTGTGGCTCGCTGTGGGCAGCGCCACTCCTGTGCATGGAACGGCAACATCCTCCACCAGTTGGGATTCAGCCATTCAAATCGGGATTCAAGCCTAGTACTAAATTTAGTTTGTAACCATCCACAGTAGGAGCCCAAGTTAAAACTGACAAAAGAGAGCTTCCATGAACCACACATGGCCAAAAGCCGCAACACATAGCCAACTGGATGGTTCAACCAGTTGCACTCATGAAGCCGACAAATCACCAATTGTTGCAACCATTCACAGTCAGGGTCATTGGATTTCCCCTTCGAAGGTTGCAATTTGCAGGTGGTTTCATTGCACGGATCGCCACTTTTGGAGGTTAAAATTACAAGAAACCCTGACCCCCGCACACACACACACACACCCAGTGGACGTTCACGGGAAACACAATTGACTCGACACTGTTGTTTGTCGGTCGTTGATGTTAAAGGGGTTTCACCCTTGACATACCCTGTTTTTCCTATGTCTCATGACAGGCTCCGTCTAACATGGGTTCATGTTTAGCTCAGTTGTTCAGTGACCCAGGCAAAAGAAGGGAACCCTGTTTGTGGAAGATTATTCTTAGTGGGGCGCCACCGAAAAAAGGGAACAATAATTGGTGCCACTGAACCACCGAGTTAAACAGTTAAACAAACATGAGTATGGGTCAACATCAAACCAATAGGGGACCGCAGTTTTTAGTCCACGTTTCCATTTGACAGGGATCCACTTTGGGGACCTATTCTTGACCCACAGCCACATAATCTCCGCAAAAGAAAACCCAAATCAGGTGACTGGTCTGGTCTCGCCTCCCGAAGGTCAGGTTCCTCTCCCGCAGCGCCGCACGCAGCTCCTCAGTGACCTGTGAGCTGTGGGAGGGGCCTTGGACCCGTTGGTGGCCATCAGAATGCGGGGATTCATGTCCAGCTAGTGAGGTGGTTCTGTAGCAAGATTCATAGCCATATGGGGGTATGACCTGTCTTTGGCTGTAGACGGGGTTAACCCAGTAAATCCATCGGGGAGACAACTAATGCCTCTCCTGGGTGCGAAACCATCCTTGCACCTCACCCCCCTATTTGTTGGGGCACGGGCTGGCAATGCTTTTCCAGGATCTTGCTCTTGCGCTGCTTGATGCGGGTCACCCCCCACGTTCATTGGAGGATAGGGGCAGCTTCAAGAGAATCTGGCGGCTTGCGAGTTTGCTGACGATCGACAAGATTGACATGTTGCTCCGTCCCCGGCACAAGGGTAGCAAAGCAACTTGAGGTCGGGCCACCCTGGCAATACTGTGGGTCGGCGTTTTTTTCTAGGCCCCATTTAGGATTGGCGGCTTATCTCAATATACGGTAGGGGGTCATGCAGTGCAAAACTAGTTGGTTCTGCCCACAGTATCTTCGATGCTCGGAGCACTCCTGTGCCGCCTTGCAACTGGTTTCACTGTGTTGAATTGATCAACGTCACCTTTGCTCGGTAAAAGCAATCAGAAACTCTAACTTGGAGACCCAAGAAGCCGTGTCAACGACAAGTTCACGCCAGCATCCTCCCCCGCACAAACACATGTTGCCCAAACAACTGTAGAGGAGTGCAGAGGGATGTTTGAACCAGGTACTTATAGCGGTCTCCATATGATCAAACTCCATTTGTTTTCCATTCAAAGGGGGGAGGGTTTGAAATAACCACCTTGCAAGGTGTCCCTGCTAAGCACGGTTGGCCCCCCTCTGAGTGACAAGGGTCACCAAGTACCTTCTCAAAGCGTGTCTCAGCTTTTGAAGGTTCAATGAACACATCTATCAATTTTCCAACAGATCTATGGAGCGATTTGGATTCAAAGACCAGCGTTTCAAGAACCTTCAAAGTTCCCATCAAGGACGCAACGTGTGACAAACGCCAAGGTTCTCATCCTAAAGTATATTGAGGACCCATAAACTCGTGGCAACCTTTCCCAGTGCTTCCAGTTTCCACTATGGCAGGTAACCAGGGGAAACCATGATGCAAAACTCACAGGTAGCTACCTGATTACCTACTAGTAGTAGCTGGAAGCACTGGGTTTTGTTGAATCCCTTGTTGCAATTCACCTGAGTATCCCCCCGGATTAAGCCCCCCCAAAAGCCACCCCCCCCCCCAAAGCGAGGTCTCAGGCGCCTCCCCAAAGCGATGGCAGGTGCTGAGACGCAGCTTCAGCGCCATCTCCGTGGGAAGGACCTGGCGAAAACCAGCGGGCCAGCGGCTCCCCGAGTAACGGGTCTTGCGGGGAGTGAGCCGGGGGTTGACCCCGAGGAAAATCCATGACTCACTCACTCAAGTTCGCACGGGGCCTGCATGGGCGCAGCTGGTTTGTTGGGAAGAGCAGAGGGGGGGGGGGGAAAATCCATCCCCGATTTGGTTTTTCCTTTCAGGAATATCCCAAAGGAAGACCTTCCCAACAACCGGAAGGTCATTCCCTACTGAGCACCAGCAAGGCATGAGGAGTAAAGCTTCACTTGGTCCAAATCAGCGCAGGCGGCGGTTCACAGTTGACTGGCGATTGACTGATCCTCAACATTGCGTCGCAATCTTGGATACACAAATGTGTTCGACTTGTGCAGCCCAACAGCAGCCAGAGCGCTTTGGAAACCCGGAACCACTCTGAAAATGCTCCGGAACCCCTTTCTGAAACCCTCCGGAACTCTAGCGCTCCATGCAACCCCGGAACCCTTCGGACTGCGGAACCGTGAGCAGGGAACCCGGTCCAGCAACTGCGCCATGGGACTTCAAAGGACCCTTGATGGGGCAGTATGGGTATGTTTCCAAATCGGGCACCCCGAACAATGCGTGGGTTTCGCTTTAAACCACCCCAAGAAGGGTCATTCACAAAAAAAGGCAGACTCATATTGGCCATGGGTCAAAATCCCGTACCCCAGTGAACATCCCAATCCCCACTAAAATAGGTTCTAAAAAGGGTGGTGCACCTACCCCAAAATGGGATCCCATTGGCCCATTGGTTTCACAGCCATATGGGAAACCTGAGAAGCTCCTTGGGGGTTTCTCGATCCGTCGGCGCTGGCCTGGACCTCTACCTGCACCATCTGTTTGGGCACGAAGAGCAGGTGGCAGGTGCTCCTTTCGCTTCCCCAGGGTATGCCCTGAACCGGATGAAAGCCCTTGAAGACAACACCTGCTTACGTGCTTATGGGTTCTACAGCGCATTACCCTGAGACGGGAAACCAAGAAACTCGGGACAAGTGGGCAAAGCTCCCCATTCGTTAGTCCTCCTCTGAAAACGGCCTGCCCAAAACCCTGGGCAAATGCTTGATTCCAAACAAGCGGGAGAAGCATGCCCACACTGAAAAAAAGTAATTGTAACATGTTGCTCATGATGCTTGCGACAGTGGTGTTGCAGGGGTTGGCCGACGCAGAACCCTGGTTGTAAGATTGGCCTACTAAGTTCCCGGACCAGCTGCCTTTTTTGCACCACATAACACACAATGGCTTGGGGGGGGTCCACGTACCACGCGGTGAGGGGCTGTGCGTTGCGTAAAAACATCGGGGTGTTCGATTCCCCCCGGGTCCGCTTTTGCATCCTCTGGGTAACATCGCCAGAATCACCTGCATCATCCGCATCAGCGCCTGTCAATGATGCGGATGATGCAAGTGATGCTAAGGATGTTGCCCATGCTGGTGAAGGAACATCTGGAAATGAAGGAAAATGCATGGACATGAATGACATGAAGTGAAATGAAAGAAAGGGAACAAAAAACAGACATAAAGGGACATGAGCCGATGTGAAGGAAAGTGAAGGGAAATGAAGATCTTCGGGGGAAAGGGGGGAAAACGATTTTAGGGGGGGAACTGGGGGACAAGGCCTTAAGAAAAAAAGGGGGAAAGGATCTCAACAGGGAAAGGGGGGAAAAGATCTTAGGAAGAAAAAGTGGGGGGAAAAGGCCTTAGGGGGGAAACGGGGGGAAACGGGGGGAAAGGATCTCAACAGGGAAAGGGGGGAAAACATCTTAGGGAGGAAAAGGAAGAAGATCTTGGGGGGAAAAGGCCTTAGGGGGGAAAGGGTGGGAAGGATCTAAACAGGGAAAGGGGGGGAAAGATTTTAGGAAAGGGGGGAAAGGATCTCAACAGGGAAAGGGGAGAAAACATCTTAGGGAGGAAAAGGGAAAAGATTTCAGGGGGGGAAAAGGCCTTAGGGGGAAAGGGGGAAAGGATCAAAAAGCGAGAAGATCTCAGGGGGGGAAAAGGCCTTAAGATTTCAGGGGGGGAAAGGCCTTAGGGGGGAAAGGGGGAAAGGATCTCAACAGGGAAAGGGGGCAAAGGATCTTAGGGAGGAAAAGGGAGAAGATCTGAAAAGGCCTTAGGGGGGAAACGGGGGGAAAGGATCTCAACAGGGACAGGGAGAAAAGATCCTAGAGAGGAAGATCTTGGGGGGAAAGGGGGAAAGGACCTCAACCGGGGGAAAAGATCTTGGGGAGGAAAAGGGAGAAGATCTCAGGGGGGGACAGGCCTTAGGGGGGAAAGGGGGGAAAGCATCTCAACAGGGAAAGGGGGGAAAAGATCTTAGGGAGGAAAAGGGAGAAGATCTGGAAGGCCTTAAACGGAGAGGGGGGAAAGGATCTCAACAGGGAAAGGGGGCAAAGGATCTTAGGAGGAAAAGGAAGAAGATCTCAGCGGGAAGAAAAGGGAGAAGACCTGAAAAGGCGTTGAAAGCATCCCAACAGGGAAAGGGGGGGGGGGGGAAGATCTTAGGGAGGAGAAGGGAGAAGATCTTGTGGGTAGGGGGGGAAACGGGGGAAAGCGGGAAAGGGGGGAAAAGATCTTAGGGAGGAAAACGGATAAGAACTCAGGGTGGGAAAAGGCCTTAGGGGGGATAGGGGGGAAAGGATCTCAATAGGGAAAGGTGGGAAAAGATCTTAGGGAGGAAAAGGGAGAAGATCTCAGGGGGGAAAAGGCCTTAGGGGAAAGGGGGGAAAGGATCTCAACAGCGAAAGGGGGGAACACATCTTAGGGAGGAAAAGGAAGAAGATCTCAGGCGGGGAAAAGGCCTTAGGGCGGGAAGGGGGAAAGGATCTCAACAGGGAAAGGGGGGCAAAGATCTCAGAGGGGAAGGGGGGCAAGGGGACAATTCCAAAGGGACGCAAATAAGAAAGCAGGCCTGTAATGTGGGCGGCCTGAGCCGGAGGCGTTAAAATAGTGAGTCTGGGAAAACAACAACGGAAATACATCCCTTTTGCCTTCCTTTTGCAAAACACAAACACATATATGAGCCATGGTCAAACCTCCTATGGCTTATGGCCATCGTTCCCTCAGCAGGAATCAGTGCAATTATGAAGGATCCCCACTGCTAGGTGGATGACCATCCTTGTTAACCCCAAGCACGGGAGGGGTCTTTTGACCGTGGCACTATGTGGCACTTATGGTTGCTGTTTAGCAGTCAGCAAAAAGGCGAGTTTGGTCGCACACATGAGCCACCAAACTTTTGGGGAGGCGCGGGCCTTTCTTGAAAGGGTTCCTACCTCCTCCTGCCCTAACGCCTCACTTCCTCCAGTATTCGCAAAATCAGACCCTCGGGCAGCGTGTTTAGGCGAGGGGAGGGTGGGGATTCCGTGACTCAAGGATCGTCCCAAGCATTTTTTGTGCTTTTCACCATTGGATCTTTTGAGAAGCACATTCCCTGGATGTTTAGGACATTTCTCAGCAGAATAATGTCTGGGTTGTGCAAGTTGGGGGGGAGATCCCGAATCCCTCATCGGCAATCCGTCTTGGACCACAACAAGGGAAAACAAGGTACATCGCGAAACTCTGTCATAAGAGTTCAGGACTGACTTTGAACAACCTAGTCAATTCCTGAGTGGGTTGGCTATGGTCTTCCTGGAAACTGTAAAGTATGGTAGCAACGGTATTTTTGTTGGCGGCCCCGGCCCCCACACAAACCAAAAACCAACAGTGAAGTATACAGTCCAGGTTTCACAAGCCGGCCCCCAAAATGAACAAAACCACACACCAAAAACCAACAGTGGAAGTATACAGTCCAGGTTTCAACAGCCGGCCCCCAAAATGAACAAAAACCACAAACCAAAAACCCAACAGTGAAGTAGACAGTCCAGGTTTCAACAGCCGGACCCCAAATTGAACAAAAATCACACACAAAAAACAAGTATACAGTCCAGGTTTCAACCGCCGGCCCCCAAAATGAACAAAAACCACAAACCAAAAACCCAACAGTGAAGTATACAGTCCAGGTTTCAACAGCCGACCCCAACATCCACCAACACCACAAACCAAAAACCAACAGTGAAGTATACAGTCCAGGTTTCAACAGCCGGCCCCAAAAATGAACAACACCACAAACCACAAACCAACAGTGAAGTTTTCAGTCAGGGTTTCAACAGCCGGCCCCCAAAATGAACAAAACCACAAACCAAAAACCAACAGTGAAGTATACAGTACAGGTTTCAACAGCCGGCCCCCAAAATGAACAAAAACCACACACCAAAAACCAACAGTGAAGTATACAGTCCAGGTTTCAACAGCCGGCCCCCAAAATGAACAAAAACCACAAACCAAAAACCAACAGTGAAGTATACAGTCCAGGTTTCAACAGCCGGACCCCAAATTGAACAAAAACCACAAACCAAAAACCAACAGTGAAGTATACAGTCCAGGTTTCAACAGCCGGCCCCCAAAATGAACAAAAACCACAAACCAAAAACCAACAGTGAAGTATACAGTCCAGGTTTCAGCAGCCGGCCCCCAAAATGAACAAAAACCACAAACCAAAAACCAACAGTGAAGTATACAGTCCAGGTTTCAACAGCCGGCCCCCAAAATGAACAAAAACCACAAACCACAAACCAACAGTGAAGTATACAGTCCAGGTTTCAACAGGCGGCCCCCAAAATGAACAAAAACCACACACAAAAAACAAGTATACAGTCCAGGTGTCAACCGCCGGCCCCCAAAATGAACAAAAACCACAAACCAAAAACCCAACAGTGAAGTATACAGTCCAGGTTTCAACAGCCGACCCCAACATCCACCAAAACCACAAACCACAACGCAACAGAGAAGTATACAGTCCAGGTTTCAACAGGCGGCCCCCAAAATGAACAAAAACCACAAACCACAAACCAACAGTGAAGTAGACAGTCCAGGTTTCAACAGCCGGCCCCCAAAATACACAAAAACCACAAACCAAAAACCAACAGTGAAGTATACAGTCCAGGTTTCAACAGCCGGCCCCCAAACCACAAACCACAAACCAACAGTGGGGTCTAAAGTCCAGGTCTGAACAGTCGAATCTCTCGCTCCTGCATCGGCCCTCCCCGTCCAGGCTCAGCATGCCCAGCCGGCTCAGGCGCGCGGTGGAGGGCAAAGACACCCAGTGCCCCAGCAGCTCCTCGGCTTGTTGTTGGCAGTTGCGACCGACTTTGTGGTTTTAAAGGGAAGCCACAAGGACAACCGGCTAGCCATCTTGGGGGTCCAAAAGTCCAAAAACCAAAAGATGAACCCAGCTTGAGTCTGGCAATGCCCCCAAGGTTTGGTCAAGACCTTTAAAACTTCTTTTGGCTGGTTGATTGTTTTAGCGAGGAATTTTCGGCTTGGTCAGTCGCCAAAAGGCCAGTGCTTCCGGTTACCATGACTTGGCTCACATCCGAGGTACACAGCAAACATATATCCAGACTCTGCCTTTTCAAGGAGACCCTAAATGAGAGTAGGCAACCGGGACAAACCATCATGTACAACTGGTAAAACAAACAAAAAAACGAAGGGTTACCGACGCAAGCTGTGTCTTGCCAGCTGGGAAGGCCAATGGTTGGAGGGCGTAAGCCTTCATTTCTATGGGGTCTCTTCGCCCATCCTTCCCTCAGAAACCAACCATTTCCCCGTGCAAAGATTGAAGAGAAGGATTCCTGATGGGAATGCAAGGTACAGCGGCCAACAGGGTGTGTGTGTGTGTGTCTGAGCTGTTTGGTGGTCTAAGGGAGACCAAACCAACACAACCACCATTTTGGGGAACCCCTAAAAACATTGGCCCAAACGATGCCCTTCTGGCCGGACAAGGCGCCTCAAGGTCTTCGAAGCTTTTGCAGGAGCTCCTCTGCTGCTCCCAAACGCGGCTGTCCTATGGCGGATTGTCCGAGCTTGGAATTTATCGAAAGGCCAACCCAGCAGTTTGGACCCAGAAATAAGAGGTGATATCACCTTTTGGGGCCATGCAGACAAACGAACAAGACCCAAGCGTCTACGGATCCCCCTCGGATGTTTGCCTCCTGTCACCGATCAAAGGGTGCCAATACGCAGCTAAGTCTGCCCGAAGAAACCCTGCGCCTCCCATATGAGGGACCCACTTTTCGGCAGTTGGTCAAGTCCCCAAGAATTTTGTTGGCCATGGTTGTGGAAACAACCCTTTCTGTAGTAGATCATGTTCTCGAAACATCCAAACTGTTTTCTGAAACCACCATCTATAGTCTATAGTCCGTGGATCTCATCGCAACTTGTCCAATGCAACCCTCACCAAATAATGAATGGTCTTAGGCGCAGTTCAGAGCCACAACAGTAAAGCATCCAACACCATGAGAACTCCGACTCCAGTACTGGTCCACAATCATTTTATTTTTATTTTTTTAAGCACGTAAGACGTAAGTCTCAAACAAACAACAATCCCAGCTCAGCTCAACCCAACCCAACCAACCCTCCAAAGATTGATCCTCCTTTTCACTCTTCCTTCTGTTGACAACCCCCTGACATTCTTGGGGCGTTGGCAGTTTTCTGAAAAGGAAAATTCAAGTCAGAAAACTAAAAAATCCTCCCTCCCTCCCTCCCTCCCTTCCTACCTTCCTTCCTTCCTTCCTTCCTTCCTCCCTCCCTCCCTCCCTCCCTCCCTCCCTCCCTCCCTCCCGCCCTCCCTCCCTCCCTCCCTCCCTCCCTCCCTCCCTCCCTCGCTCCCTGCTACTCCCCTTCACAGCTATCAGCACTCCGTTGACTCCACTTCTTGCCAGAGGATCCACCGCGAAGACCAACGCGCCCTGCTCCAGAGCCTCCGACACCTACCAGGGTGTCTTTCAGCTACGAGCTTGCAAGTCCGCAATTTGGCTGGCAGTTTGCTTGATTGCTTGCTTGCTGGCTGGTTTTGTTTGCTATGTTGCTTGGTACCATGGTTGTTTGCTCGATTGCTTGTTCAGTTATATAGCTACTATTCGCTTTGACTGCTTGGTGATTTCTTCGCCTGATTAAGCGTGTGCTGGTTTGCTGGAGGCTTTGCTTGCTGGCTTGTTTTCTTGCCTGCCTGCCTGCCTGCTTGCCGGCCGGCTGGCTCACATACTACGTAGCTTATTTCCGCATTGCTTTTAATTATTTAATCTGTGTAAGCTATCTCTTGATTTATGTGTAATTATATAAACAACAAATAAAAATGTGAAGTTGTTGGCACGCGCTTCAGTTTGTGTTTGTCATTGTTGATTTGTGTTCACAACTTTTCATTTCTGGTGTTCTTAGTCTGACGGTTCACCTGCGTGCCGAGAGATGTGTTCAAACCAACAACTCCGTGTGAGACATATTCACTGCACGGTCCATTTGGAGAGTCCCTCGGATACATAGAGAGCTAATCTTTCCCTGTCCGGCAGGGTGACAGTAAAACTTTGACTGTGTCTCATGTCTCCACACTTTCACAAAGGGCAACCCGCCCTGGCGACTGAGAGGCACCATTTGCTGCGGAGGCAGCGTGTACGCAGCATTGGCATAACCACATCAGACAATAAAACATAGGCACATCAAAATTGAGGAAACCAAAGATTAAAACATGGGTCAGTATAGCGGCCGGGGGGTTGCTTAGAGCCTGAGCTTTGCATGCAACCTGAACAAATGCCACACACCTGTGCAACAAATGGCGAATCCAATGTGTCTACATATTTAGCAAACATTTCAAGCTTCAACAGACCGACACCCACACACACACACACAACACACACACACACACACACACGCGCACACACACACACAAACACCAAATCACCAAATCGCAAACACACATCAACATATAATTTGCCCTGCTCCCAAACACAATACACACAAACAACCAAAGCACCAACAGCAGCAACCCCAAGCACAACCACTAATTACATGGGCCGCTATTCTTGCACGGAAACCCCTCCAAGCCCCCGCAAACGTGCATTTCAATTTGAGTGCTTTCTTTCTGCTGTCGCTTCAAAACCACCCCGCAAAAGGGCTGGTGTCCCAACTCCAAACAAAAACGGCGCCGCAGCGCAGCCCAGTTCGCGGACGACCCGCTGCCTGCGCCGCCTGGGTGACCAAGCGCTGCTGAACATCCGCCACGGTGTCGCAGCTGCGGACCGGCAGGAGGTCTGGCGGGCTCAATGCCCAAAGGCATCCGATGGGAAAACCTGTCCGGTGTACCCCCGAATATAACTACCTGGAGTCTCCATGACCCTTTAAACATGGGTCCATGACCCCATTATTTTGGGGAATGGCCAACCATTTTTCAAGGGTCATGGAGACTCCAGGTATTCATGAGGTAAAAAGACGCTCTTTAGTTGATTTGAAATGGACACCCCTCACATACATGAAAACAAAGGGAGCTGGGTGTCGGGAAAGGGGTCCTGGTGGGAAAACCTAAGGGTGCCCACCTTTTGTAACCAGTGACCCTTGAAGCGTTTTGCGGAAACCAACGGGACCAATCAAGTGGCATCCTGAAGTCCTGCCGTTGATCACTCGGGACATATGAGGGTCCCTCACTGCAGTGCTGCTTAGGACTTTCGTGGAAAGATGGCTGGATCTGGGCAAAAGACAGTATTCACTTCACAAATCAGATCCCTGCGAAAAGGAAAGCCTTGTTGGGCCAGGACCACTTTTGGAATCTGCCAAAGCAACACATGTTGAACAACTGGGGTTTCATCAAATCGAGCCACCCTTCCAGTTCCCGCTAAATGCGGTAAGAAGCTTTACCGAGGCCCAAACTCAGGCCGTGCTGGAAGGCTTCCCAATGGGTGGTGAAAGTGGGTTCACCCGCAGCCTCGTGCCGCTAAAACGGACACCAAAAGCAATCTGTCGAAGAGGGCCACCCAGCTATTGCAGATGGTAACTTGTACAACTCCTTCGCAAGCTCCCAGGAAATCCCCTGCATTGCAACGGTGTACAGAGGCCTCAAACCAAGGTGGTATTAGTAGCACCACCGACTGAAAAGACCAATGGGGGCTCTCTGCTCAAGGCCTGTGACGAAAGCAGGTCCAGCCTGGAACGCTGAGATCTGTCTGAAACACGGCGATGGGGAGCTGCAGGGATTGGCTGATGTAAGCAGAAAGCACCACTCCGTCTGCGATCGGCGCATGTGACCTGTCACATGCGAAACTCACAGAAAGCTACTGAAGAATGATTCTAGTTGGAAATGGCACATGCACCCACCTGGGGCAGTGGGGTAATGGGGTGGGCTGCCTTTTTCCGGAAGCTGCGCCAACCTGAATCAGGTTTTCTTAATGGCCATTGGAAGCCATTAAATAGCGGCTAAGGCCTTAACATGATTCACCAACCTAGAATGACAACCCATGTACAGTAATTGAACAGAACATTGATCATTGGGTTTCGAATGCAACCGAAATCCCTTTGAAAACCAAACCACCAACCACCATCTTGCAATTGCCACATGAACAAAATCGCCCTTGATCCTGCTAAAGGCAAATGCCAGTATCCCTGGCCGGTTCCTACCACTTTCGGGCAACAACCAGGATCTGGGCACAACACCAGCACTGACATAAGGTATCCCCACAAGCAGTGTCATGAGCTCGAGTGAGCTGGCTTGCGCAGATCATTTGCCCAATCGATCCGTTGGTTTGCCTCTGAAACCAACCAGAGAAGCGTCTCACAAAAGCCACGCCACTTGTTCAGGTCCAAACCCCTGTTTTACCACACAGGGAAGCTATGTTCGGGGCGGGGGGCTTCAAAACCCATCAGGAAAAATACAACAAAGGCTTCAAAGGATGGTTTCATTCGCCATGACCCTTCCCCAACCCTTAAAAGTAGATGGTATGACCTCCCCACTTAGCTTCGCATTGTGACGTAACCTTCAAAACTTCCCGGGGTCGAATGGACCGTAAGCCCCATGCATTGTTGACCACTTAAAACGGGACTCCCTTGGCCCCAAAACCAACTTTTCCCATGTTCCTTGATCCAAGTGGTCAAGACACCCCCCCTTCTTGTTGTGGGCTTCCACTCAGTAAGACGCACACCCAAATGGATGTTTCTCAGAAGAGTGGTCCATCTCCTAAAATGGATGCGTGGGGCGTCCCATCGAATACCAACGGTGGGCTTTTCCACTTGACAAACCCGGGCAGACAAAATTGAACCCTTCTGGAGATTGCAGCTGTTGGCGGGGATGCCGCCCAGCAAAACCCATGTCAAACTTGGTGTGGAATCCACACGACTGGGAATCCCGGAAACGGAATCCCAAACCTAAGTTCAATGGAAAAAGTAAACACATTTCCAGTGATGATAGATTCCCGGGAAAATCAAACATATGCTTAAGCAACTGGAAGCCGACGGCGACTTTTGTCACATCCAAGTGGCAAGTCCGCGTGTCGGCTCACCAGCTCCGTGCCCGCATACAGCGCCAGCCGTGCCGGGTCCACCCCGAGCTTCGCCGCCGCTCCGTCGTACCTAGAGGTCAACAGCGATGCAAACCACACAGAAATCAGCCTCCCTCCAATTGGTGGTTCGGGTTGGTGGTTTGCTATTTGAACCCCTGCTCCTGTAGAAGGTACATGGGAAACCCCTCCTTAACCACCAAACCACCAATCCAAACCACCAATTCAAGGGAAGCTCAAGAAACGCTAAAGAACATAACATACCAAACAACACACACAAAACCAGCAAACAACTCCAGAAAAGAAACCAAAACACAGCAACCCCACAGTTCTCCACAAAAAGGGGCAAATGAAACAACCCAAACAAATACAAACCAAATAAGCCTGGAGCAATCCATTTCCCCGGCCCATTTCCGTCCCCACACTTTGGCCGTGGCTCAAGTGCTGCGCCGGCCCTGTGGCCGGGACATCCATGGGCATATCCACATCCCCCATGTTGCTGGGCGCAACTTCGCGCATCTCCACCACACTGCCGTCCTCAAAGCCTTCGATTTGCAACATGGCTATGGGTCAAAATCCTGTGCCCCCAGTGAACATCCGATTCAATCCAACCACTAAAATAGACTAAAATGGGTGGTGCACCTACCCCAAAATGGTACCATTGGTTTTGACCCACAGCCACATGTTCCAATTGGATGGGGAGGAGATATCCGGGTACTGGACCTGACGTCCATGGATGTCCTTTGGCTTTCCTCGGGAACGGTTCCGAGCATGGAAATTCTTCGCATCCGAGGTGCCAAGCTGGCCCAAGGTGCGGTCGTCCTCCTCAGAGGACAAAGCCACGTCCTCCAGATACAGCTGGCCTCGTGGCGAAAAGAACCCCGGAGCCCCCCTCTTTGTGCTCAAGGGAACCGCAAACTAAATCAAACTTGGGCCGGATGTTGGGCGGCGTTGTTGGGGGCTTAAAGGGACACCAAAGCCAAAACAACCACGTGCCCTATTTTGACACACACACACACGCACACCCAAGTACTTGATACCAAACTATCTTAGGGGAAGTATCAGGACCTGCGAAGTACGTGGGCAAACCAGTCGGACTGCGTCCTGCTCCAGTTTTCAAAAGAAACCCCAAAGTTGCAATAAAGGTATGGAGCCATCTGAGTTTTGTTAAACTGAGACTGGTGTTCTCTTTTTGCCTAACTCTGGCACGCGCAGCCCCAAACCCAGGTGAGGCTGGGATTGTTGCCCTGCGTTTCCTGACCGACCACCAGACCGACCGACCAGCCGACCAACCGACCAACCGGCCGAGCGAAAGCTATGGTCTGAGCCAACGCATGCCAAAATAAAATCCTGCCCCAGAAAAAAAGCTTAAAAGCTTTGACCCCTCCAATGTTCACCTCAAGAGCCCGAGACCATTCGACTCGGCCGCCCCAAACGCGTGCGTGGTTTTGGGCGCGCGGCTCCGCGCCGGCGACAGCCCCGACACGCTCTGCAGGGCCCAGCGCAGATCTCCCAAGACCTGGCCTAGGTCCGACACCCGGCGCGTCGGCGAGTCGATCCATTGTGTAGGGACCCCCGAAAGACAAGGGACCAGCACAAGCAGATCTCATGGTTCATAGTGATAAGGTTTTCTTGAAGTAGGTGTCTAGCGAATGCACTTGTACATGGCTCAGGGACCCTTGAGCCCCTTCAGCGCAAAAATCACCAAAAAAAAACTAGGCACCCACACAGGTGATCCCCAAGATGACTAGTGGCCAGTCGGTTCTCCTCTCACCACACAAGCTGACAGAAAGGTAGACGACCTTCTTTTTGGGGACCCTCTTTGTCCATTTTCATGATTGGAAAGAGGGGAGTGACAAGAGGGCATTCCCAAAAGTTTTGTCTGTGTCCTTTGTGGCTTCGGGTCGCCATCGAAAAACTGGCTTGAGGGTGAGCCTTCAGGATGGGGCTAAGTTGGCCATAGTGCCTGGACTTCCCGTTGCCCGAAATGAGGTGTGCGTGCTTTATAGAAATCGGAGCCCCCACAGACCCATGGGATCCAGGTTGCCATGCACGCGACTATGAATTTTGATAGGGAACCCTTCGAAACTGGCTGGTGGACAAACATCCCCAGCTCAATTATGTCCAGAGGGTCGCCAATTCAAATTCAAACCCATGTGGAAACCGGACCCTTTCCGTGAGAAGGTAACAGGTAACCACTCTGCAAAGTCTGTGTGTGTTCATCCTACATCATGAATTCACAGGCATACCTCGGCTTCCCCCCCTCAAACCCAAGATCTTGTGTTTGCTTAAACACATGGGGATGTCTTACTTTGGGGGACCCCCCCCAAAAAAAGAAGTGCGTGGTTTTCCTCCTGGTTGCCCTGTACCCCCCCCCCCCCAAAAAAAAAAAAAAAAAACGCAAACAACAGCGAAGCGGTTGATCTCTCGCTCCCATCGCCTTGTTCGAAGGCCACCGGCCGCTCTGAAGGCCCGCAGTGGGGAAAGAGCAGCCGTAAGTTCAAGGTCAAAGGACCTCGACCCGCGACATCCCAACTCGGTGATTTTTTGGCGAAGTTTTGCTAAAAGTTTTTTAACTTTTAGTGGTTTGATGAATTTAATGAACAACCCACTAGTGGGCAAAATGAAAAACCCGTTGGTTGGCAAAAACATGTTCACTCCTAACATCCCTTGGCAAAATGCAAAGCCAATCGGGGCCCCGAATCCCAATAGGGGCTAATAGCGACTAGAAGGGTCTATTGGCGCCTTTTGAGGGACCAGGGGGCCCCTGACAACCGTAGGAAATTGGAAAAAGGGCCGCCCTTTGTTTTATGGCAAATGTTTAAGGGGGTACAAGGGGGTGTAGCGGGGTCTAGGGTTGCGTGGGGTTCAACCCGAGGGAGGTTCACCCTTTTTTTGGCATGGTATTGGGAAGAAACAAGTAATGCTACAGAAGATGCGACAGGGGTTACAGAGATTGCAACCTAACTTGCAATAGCTACTGGGCGCCCAGAAGTAGCAGTTGGCGCCACTTGGGTAAAGCCATTGAGCCAAGCTTGCTTCTATGCAAGTCCACAGCAAAGGGGCGTCTGTCTCACATCCAGTGACAAGCGCCTGCCGCCTTTTGGGGCCACCCTTGTGCCGCGGCCTCGAGTTTTCCCACTCCTGACTCCATCCAAAGCTCCCGTGTCCAGCTGCCCCCAGAGAGCCCCACCTGCAGGGCAGCGGTGCAGTTGGCCCTCGCGCCGCAGGAAGGCCCAAGCGCCTTCCATGGCCAGATGCACCTCCCGCGCGACTGCGGCGTTGCATGGCCGGCCCGGCGAAGTGGCTTCAACGGGGGCGCGTTTGGCGGGAAGTCATTTGCCTCATTGGCCGAAAATACCCGGGGGGAGCGAGGGGGGGGGGGAACAACCGATCTTGCTCTGTTATCCATCCTTGGTATCCATGGGTATCCATGCCCTCCCATGACCCTTGGTTTTTCTTCTATTCCCTTTCAACCGACCTCAAAACGGCTAACACGCCCATTTTGAGTCAACCCCCCATCCGCCTGCAGGGGCGTGCCCGTGGTGTCCGCCGCTACGGCCACGCGGCTCATGGGGTAGTCGTCGTACAAGCGCCGGCACCCCAGCAGCAGAACAATCCGCGAAGCTGGGAACTTGTTCCTTGCCCATGGCCCCGTTTCACACATGGAGAATGGGTCCAGGGCAACCGGATCTTTGGAAGGGGTGGGTGGGTTTTTGTGAGTGTCCTTTTTTTGTTGGGAAGGGTAGTTTTACAGGGGGGTTTCGAGAGAATATGTTTTTGGGCAGGTCTCGGATGATGGTTGCAATGATGCTGAAGGAAAGCTTGTTGATTGGGTATATCTTTTTTCGTTGAGTGTGGTGTTCAAGGGACAGTGACAGAAGCTGTGGATATGCATGTGTGTTGATTAAGGCTCCAAAAGACGATTTGCAAGAAGAGGTGTATTGATTGGGTAGGTATGTCTCATTGTTGATATATAGTGGTTTTGGGGAAATCACGTGGAACAATGGTGGGTATGTATTGTGTATTTTTGGGCGGCGGGTGTCAAGGACAACCAAGAGGAAACAAGCTAATGGATATGTATAACGTTTCAAGAGGTATGTCTGGTCTTCAGGGTGATTTTTGGACATGTCTCACCCAGCGGTTCAACTGGATGGGTAATGGGGTGTGGACTTCCTGGGCGTTTCAAAGCGGAAATAGAGTTCCGCAAACACAACAAAACCAACTGGCCCACAAAAGGTTGCCAATGCAATCTTTCTTCAAGACTCCTCCATGCCTTTTGAGCACATACCCCAGACCCCCTATGAAAGGAATGCTCATCACGGGAGGGTTGTGGCAAAGCAAAACAGGGGTTCGGTTTCGTGTGTACGAGTGTTCGGGATGATCACAGAGACGACAAGTCGTACAAGTTCAAAGACGATAGGTGAACAGACTCGGGGATCAAGCTTTAGAGAGCTCAATGTCAATCACCTTCGTCCGTGAAAGGCAAATAACCTTCAAGGGGGTGAGTGAAAAACACAAACAAGCAAATCATGTCCGCAGCCTCCAAATAGCCACCCACGCCCGGGTCGTTTTGGCCCTGAAAGAACCGGAACTCTGACTTTGACCGATCAAGCCAAGAGATGGTTTCATCAACCATCCGGCATTTGGTTCAGACCATTCCCAATAAACCCCAACATTTGGGGGGGGGAGTTAATAAACCTCTACAGAATTCGACCGGAAAGCAATCGCAACTACTGACATATAGCAGCAAAGCCATAAAATGCAACATCCCCCCCCCTCCCCGTGAATTCCAGAATTCCAGCCCTCTTCCACACAAGTGCTCGATTCCGACCAGGAATCGAGCGGGTGAAAGGAACCAATCGCTTTAAACCCCCAGCTCCCGAACTGGTCAAAGGCTCCTGATGCCCATCTGCTGCTTCAAGTCTGCCACGGTGCTGTCCTTCCTGCCACGAGCTGCAACTCAAAGCTGCTTCAACAGCCAACCTCCCCTTCTGGCGGCTTGGTTTTGGCTCGAACGTCATCCCCAGAAAGGGCAAACATTGCCGGCCTGGTGTAATCAAAGTGTAGATGTCATGAGTATTTGAAGGGGCATTCCAGCTGACTCATGTTTGGCGGCTCAGACATCAGCTTCTGTTTCTCCTTGGTTGGGGACATGCTGAAATCAGGGTTCCTTCATAAACGTGGAGGTCGCTTTTGTTTCTTGGCCTCGGAAAGGAACAAACGTGTAAACCCCACATTGAGGCCCCCGGACGTCTGAAGTAGAAACAGATCCGCTTTCCTTCCTATCTTGAGTGGATGGGATAATCTCTGCAAAACAATAAAGTCACAACTACAAAGGTTCAATGGTTCAAACCAAACCAGGGTCAGCAAAGTTGCTGTCCTTCCTATCTTGACACTTGAGTGGATGGGATAATCTCTGCAAAACAATGAAGTCACAACTACAAAGGTTCAATGGTTCAAACCAAACCAGGGTCAGCAAAGTTGCTTTCCTTCCTATCTTGAGTGGATGGGATAATCTCTGCAAAACAATGAAGTCACAACTACAAAGGTTCAATGGTTCAAACCAAACCAGGGTCAGCAAAGTTGGCACAAAATGATGGAGTAAGTTATCGTGCCACCAATTCCGCAAGAGCCCCGTCTAGCCTCGAACAACAGTAAGAAGAAGAAGCAACAATTAAAATTCAGAACTGCTTAGTTTGATCCGCGATACTAGCCACTAGCATGGCGGTTTCTCGGCATGAAACCAACCCAATGGAGGGTCCAAATTCTACCAATGAACAGTCGCCCTTCTAATTCCTCAAACTATACGGGGGACAGAAATGGACAGAACGAACAGTGCTCACCACCCTACGGGCCCCAGGGCAGAAACTATCCGCCTTTTGGAGGAATATCAAGTTGGACTGTTGGACCCTCAGGAGTTCCAGCCACTTTTAGGCAGCCAGTCGCATTCGGAAAGCCTCAGCTCGTACTGCTCGCTCACGATGGGTGGCGCCAACTGGCCCTCTGCCGCTGCTTTGGAGGTAGCGGTGCCCGGGTACTCCAAGTCCACCTGGAGAAACACCGGTGAATTTCTGCATCAGGGACCCCTTCGGAGGATTGCAAAAAACAAGGGACCCCTTTGGTGGATAATAATAAGAAGAAGAAGAAGAAAAGAAGACAAAAAAAACAACGGTGGGGGTTTATGGATTACTTTTTGGGGTGGTTTTCCATCGTCAAAATGCCTCGCCGACGCAAAGAAAAGAATGCATCCAACGGGCTGTTTAACTGTTGGGTTCGACATATGCTTGCAATATGTTTCCAGAAACACGCGACCAGACAATGACATATGCAAAGAAACATGGGAAACGCTTGCATTAAACTGTCGAGCCCAGATTGATGGTCAATTGATAAATTTCACGGACCAGAAGGAGGGATTCAGAACAAGGCCCTCTCCAAATATTGTGTCGGTTTCCCTATATACAAAATAACTCGACAAAGCGTGAGCTTGATAAACCATGCGTGGTTTCAGGATTATCTATCAAACATGCCATCAACGTTTCTCGTGCAGGTTTTGGAATCACCGCTCCTTTTTCATTCAATGCGTAAAAAACATCCATGCTGGAGTTTGCAGCATGCTCTTTCTGTTTTTCAGCAAGAGCCACACCATTCAAATGCTCACCTATCTCAAACAAATCAGATTGCCAGTCATCCCAGACCACCCAAAAGGAAGAAACGGGCACTCTTTTGGCAGTTGACTTCAAAGTGAACAACCTCATGTGACAAAAAGGGGCACCCCTGGATGTCAGAGATAATTAAGCAGGAACCGTCCAATGAGGCCAACGGTTCGCACCTGGTTGAGGTTGGACCCAAACCCCCAGTGGATTGACATAGAGGGCTGCGGCACCCTTTTTTGTAGAGAGTTGATTTCAACAAAAGTGGAGCCCGCAAACAAGAACAAAATTCACGCAACTGCTGGCTCCAAGAGAGAAGTGAACCGCAGGCAGCGGATGGATGCAAAAAAGACGCTAGAGCCGAGTGGATTTCCATGGAACCAAAATGGCAACAAAAGCTTTTTGGTTGACCTTACAAGAAGGCCCTTTCCAAAAAGAAGAAAGCAACAGGGAGTGAAAAATGATCAGGCTTTTTGGTTGGTGTTAAAAGGAAGCCCTGTCCAAAAAGAAAGGAAGCAACAGGGTGTGAAATGATCTAGCTTTCTGGTTGGTCTTAAAAGGACGCCCTTTCCAGAAAAATGGAAGCAACAGGGAGTGAAATGATCAAGCTTTTTGGTTGGTCTTAAAAGGAAGCCCTGTCCAAAAAGAAAGGAAGCAACAGGGTGTGAAATGATCTAGCTTTCTGGTTGGTCTTAAAAGGACGCCCTTTCCAGAAAAATGGAAGCAACAGGGAGTGAAATGATCAAGCTTTTTGGTTGGTCTTAAAAGGAAGCCCCTTCCAAAAAGAAAGGAAGCAACAGGGTGTGAAATGATCTAGCTTTCTGGTTGGTCTTAAAAGGACGCCCTTTCCAGAAAAATGGAAGCAACAGGGAGTGAAATGATCAAGCTTTTTGGTTGGTCTTAAAAGGAAGCCCTTTCCAAAAAGAAAGGAAGCAACAGGGTGTGAAATGATCTAGCTTTCTGGTTGGTCTTAGAAGGAAGGTCTTTCCAAAAAGAAAGGAAGCAACAGGGTGTGAAATGATCTAGCTTTCTGGTTGGTCTTAAAAGGACGCCCTTTCCAGAAAAATGGAAGCAACAGGGAGTGAGATGATCAAGCTTTTTGTTTGGTCTTAAAAGGAAGCCCTTTCCAGAAAAATGGAAGCAACAGGGAGTGAAATGATCAAGCTTTTTGGTTGGTCTTAGAAGGAAGCCCTTTCCAAAAAGAAAGGAAGCAACAGGGTGTGAAATGATCTAGCTTTCTGGTTGGTCTTAAAAGGAAGGTCTTTCCAAAAAGAAAGGAAGCAACAGGGAGCGAAATGATCAAGCTTTTTGGTTGGGTTTAAAAGGAAGCCCTTTCCAAAAAGAAAGGAAACAACAGGGTGTGAAATGATCTAGCTTTCTGGTTGGTCTTGGAAGGAAGGTCTTTCCAAAAGAAAGGAAGCAACAGGATGTGAAATGATCAAGCTTTTTGGTTGGTCTTAACAGGAAGGTCTTTCCAAAAATAGAGGAAGCAACAGGGTGTGAAATGATCAGGCTTCTTGGTTGGTCTTAAAAGGAAGCCCTTTCCAAAAAGAAAGGAAGCAACAGGGTGTGAAATGATCTAGCTTTCTGGTTGGTCTTGGAAGGAAGGTCTTTCCAAAAAGAAAGGAAGCACCAGGGTGTGAAATGATCAAGCTTTTTGGTTGGTCTTCACAGGAAGGTCCAAAAATAGAGGAAGCAACAGGGTGTGAAATGATCAGGCTTTTTGGTTGGTCTTAAAAGGAAGCCCTGTCCAAAAAGAAAGGAAGCAACAGGGTGTGAAATGATCTAGCTTTCTGGTTGGTCTTAAAAGGACGCCCTTTCCAGAAAAATGGAAGCAACAGGGAGTGAAATGATGAAGCTTTCTGGTTGGTCTTAAAAGGAAGCCCTTTCCAAAAAGAAAGGAAGCAACAGGGTGTGAAATGATCTAGCTTTCTGGTTGGTCTTGGAAGGAAGGTCTTTCCAAAAAGAAAGGAAGCACCAGGGTGTGAAATGATCAAGCTTTTTGGTTGGTCTTCACAGGAAGGTCCAAAAATAGAGGAAGCAACAGGGTGTGAAATGATCAGGCTTTTTGGTTGGTCTTAAAAGGACGCCCTTTCCAGAAAGAAAGGAAGCAACAGGGAGTGAAATGATCAAGCTTTTTGGTTGGTCTTAAAAGGACGCCCTTTCCAGAAAAATGGAAGCAACAGGGTGTGAAATGTTCTAGCTTTCTGGTTGGTCTTAAAAGGACGCCCTTTCCAAACAGAAAGGAAGCAACAGGGTGTGAAATGATCTAGCTTGTTGGTTGAGTTTAAAGGGAAGCCCATTCCAACAGGAAAGGAAGCAACAGGGTGTGAAATGACCAAGCTTTTTGGTTGGTCTCAAAGGGACGCCCTTTCCGAAAAGAAAGGAAGCAGCAGGGTGTGAAATGATCTAGCTTTCTGGTTGGTCTTAAAAGGAAGGTCTTTCCAAAAAGAAAGGAAGCAACAGGGTGTGAAATGATCAAGCTTTTTGGTTGGGTTTAAAGGGACGCCCTTTCCAAAAAGAAAGGAAGCAACAGGGTGTGAAATGACCAAGCTTTCTGGTTGGTCTCAAAGGGACGCCCTTTCCAAAAAGAAAGGAAGCAACAGTCTTAAAAGGAAGCCCTTTCCAAAAAGAAAGGAATCAACAGGGTGTAAAATGATCTAGCTTTTTGTTTGGTCTTACAAGGAAGCCCTTCCCAAAAAGAAAGGAAGCAACAGGGTGTGAAATGATCAAGCTTTTTGGTTGGTCTCAAAGGGACGCCCTTTCCGAAAAGAAAGGAAGCAGCAGGGTGTGAAATGATCTAGCTTTCTGGTTGGTCTTAGAAGGAAGGTCTTTCCAAAAAGAAAGGAAGCAACAGGGTGTGAAATGATCAAGCTTTTTTTGGTTGGGTTTAAAGGGACGCCCTTTCCAAAAAGAAAGGAAGCAACAGGGTGTGAAATGATCTAGCTTTCTGGTTGGTCTTAAAAGGAAGCCCTGTCCAAAAAGAAAGGAAGCAACAGGGTGTGAAATGATCAAGCTTTTTGGTTGGTCTTAAAAGGAAGGTCAGTCCAACAAAAATGGAAGCAACAGGGTGTGAAATGATCAAGCTTTTTGGTTGGGTTTAAAGGGAAGCCCTTTCCAAAACAAGGAAGCAACAGGGTAGCACTGGGCAGGGCCAACCTGCGCGAAGTCTTCGCCGCTGCAGGTCTGGAACTTTGCCCGGAGCTGGAAGACACCGTGATCCTCGAACCCCGTCGCGAGACTGAGCCGCAAAGTTGTATGGACCCAGTTGATCCTTTACTCCGAGTTGATTCATACGGGGTGTCCCATTTTGGATAGAATTTGAATGCTGTAAAAAGGAGACGGCCTAGGTACCTCCTGATGCGCTATGATGCACTCAAGAGGCTCAACAAAGGCTGAGGTACATTGTTCTGAAGTAACGGGACACTTGGGGCCTTAGGGTGAGTGGCATAATTTCGCTTAAAGCATCCAAACACCCTCACATCAAACAACTGTAAACGGGCCGCAAGACCAGAAGGCGCAGCTGAGCCTTGTTACTTATGATAAGAATCCCACAGGGAGGTTTTGATTCAAGAAGCAAAGAAGGCGGTTCATCCCACTTACTCTTGATAAGAAGCCCAAGCGGCGGCGTAGGGATTGAAAGCGAACACAAGGTTCTCCCTGGGCATCACCGTTTCCCTTTAAAGGCACACTGTCCATTGCCATTTCCCGCAACCGCAAGGAGCACACATACACATCTGAATCAAATTGAAGTTAGGTAAATGGATAGTAACGATACTACCTCATTCTACGCCCTTCAAGTGGTGTAAATAACAAACACCTCGAAAACCAAAAGAACAAGATAGCAAGCAACAGCACATCTCGCCCTCCCTCCGACCAGCATGAAAGCCCACAGCCAGGAAACTCGACTTGCAAAGGGGTTCCCTGCAAAGCATGTTTGAAGCTAGGGTAGCATTCAGAAACGCTCCACCAAGATGTGTGTTTAGTTGTGATTATCATTATCATTCTGATTCAGATTCTGATTGTGTTATACTGTAGTTTTATATGATATATGATTAGAACGATTATTGTTATCATTGTGATTCTCATTGTGATTCTACGATTGTTATATTTTTCCATGAGGATTTGGTCAACTATGGACTGGTTCCGAGCCCCAGATCGCAGTCCAAACCTGTTTGTGATCCCGGCGTGTCCCCTGAGACTTTGGTCCTCACGGCAGCTCTGCTCCAAGAAGGCCTGCAGACCTCGCTTCGAAACGGGCCGCAAGAATCGCCGGGTGGCTTTGTCTTAAATAAATACGGTTGTGTATATTTCGTGTGCTATTATTATTTATTTATTTATGTGTATTTTTTTTTGGGGGGGGTGTTTTGTGGTTGAAACCAGCTGGAAACCAATTTGGTGTGTTTCAAACACGCCGCAAACACCACAGTGCAGTCCTAGAAAAAGTCCAGCTTTTGGTTCACAAAAATGGTCCACACCCAAAAAGTGACGCACGGAAACTCAAGGAGTGAGACATCCAAACGAAGCACGTGGAAGTCCAACACGCAACGGAGGTCAACAACAAACAATGCCACCAACAAACATGGAAGTCCACGCAACCCTTCAAACAAAAACTTTCTGCAAGCGGTTCGTGCACTTCCATGTTTGATGGGCGGCAGCTTTGTGCTGGTTGGTGGAAAACATGTATTGGTTGATCAAGTTAGAGCGTTGAAGGGTCGCACAAAAGAACGGCACATTGCCCTGACTACATGTATGTATATATACGTATATCATATAGGGAACCTCCAGTATTAAAGTATACCCTGGGGTTGACCTCAAAACAGCGGACCTCGGAAAATGGCCGGTTTCAATTTGGTCCCAGGCCCTTGATCCCACACTCACCCCCCCCCCCTTCAAAAAACAAAGGGCCAGTGAGCCAACCAAAAGGGACACCCGTACATGTCTTACCAAACCAAAAAAGCAAGAACAAAACACAACAAGGCAAAAACGACGACCAAAAGGGACACCCATACACGTCTTACCCCCAAAAAAACAACCAACAAAAAGAAGACAACAACAAAAAACGCACGTCGGCCGGAGCACTCTGCCCGGAGACCGGCTTCAGCTTCTGCTGGGCCAAGGATGCCAGGCGCGGCAAGGTGAAGAGCGCCACCTTCTCACAGGCGAAGCCTGCGCGTGGCTTCTGATGAAAAATCTGCCCCAAGGACCCAGGGAAATGGAGCGAAACTGGAAAACCAAAGGTCAAAAGCTTGGCTTTGGACCAAAACTGAAGGAAAACCCACCAGGTCAAAGTTGGTTGGCTTTAGATTGCTGAGCTTAAGATGCCGGACACCTGAACATTGGCGGCTTCCTTTGTGCAAAACAAGAGCACTCAACAAAACAAGCACACCCATCTTGGCTTTGAGAAATGGGTGTGTTGTGCGTTGGGTTCAGGGTACCTTTTTTGGGGGTTGTGTACCAGGGGGGTGAAGGACAACATGTCTTTGGCCCGCCCAATTTTAAGACAAACCCACATGCGGTTCCCATAACTTGCTGATTCGATAGGGAATGAACAGGGGGTTTGGGAACAAACCGTTTACGGCTCCTCTTAACATTCTCACACAAGAAACCGCAAGTTGGATGGTTTATTGGGATCACTCCCACCTGAGAACCAGCAAGACCCTGAGTAACTTAGAGCTCCTCCCCCCATATTCCAAAATGGACTACAGACTGAAAGCTTAAGATCGAGCCTCCCACGAACAAAACACACCCCAGAAAACACCGCCTGTGAATCAACCGGGGCTGATAAAGCCAGGCGTGACATTCCGAGGTTGATCACCGCAGGACATGCTGACCATGGCCCATATTATGACTGTGAACATCTCTGTTGGAGTAGTGCCCCCAATGGGGACTGCTCTTAAAAAAGCACTGCCAAAGGATGATATGGAACACATCCGAATGCCCACCTGTAAATACCAACCCGACAAGTAACAACTCGATCGGACTTGGCATCCAAAAGATGATGGTTGAAGCAACAAGTAATATTCTGATGACCCTGGTAAACAAATTTGAGCAAAGCACGGGACGATGACACACAATTCTGCACCACTTGGGATAGATGAAACAGTACAAATGATGGCATACACCACAAATCTCAATTGGTGCGAATGGAAGTGAGCAGCTCCCAGGTCATTCACCCTGATCTGTGTGGGTGTCACCCAGTGGTTTGCTTCTGACTGGCTCTTGTTTGGGAATCAACATGGAATGGTTTCAGCTTGGTTCAACTATTGACCGGTGCCGTCTTTTGTTAGGTACACTCAGGGGGTTCCAGTCCTTACTTCCATATGTTAACTTTTCTATGCCCAGTTTAGATGTGGACAATATTACAACATATTTGTTGAGCCAGTTATCTTGTGGTGTGCTAGCTCACTGCTTTCAGTTGCCCTGATAGTATGTAACCAGCATGCAGCCAGGGGCCCAGCGGCAAGCCTGCCTTCCAAAACCTCATAGCCCAGTCCTTCCAGTTACCTAGGAAACCAGGCGCTTTGTCTCCAGTTTGCATAACCAATAGGTACAATTGATACTTGGCACACATGTGGAGATTTCAAACAGGAACTGGGTGGGTCGTGAGAAAGCCCATAGCTAATTGTTACCCTACTGTGAACCAGTCGAGATGGATGAAGCCCTCTGAATACTGGTTGATAACCCCCCTACCAACTGCCTGGTGTGGATCCATCCACGCACTCTCCACGTGGCGCCTGCATGTCGCGCAAAGGCCTGGAGGATGTCCTGAGCTGCTTCCGGGCCATCGCCCGCAGGGAGCTGGGAACTCCAGTGCTGCTCCTGGCGTCCGGACCAAAATGTCGACCTCACTAGAATCTGGTGGAAGGTCTGGGGAGCGGGTTTGCCCCAAGTCAAAGAATCCCCAAACTGGCCAGTGTCACAGGAGTTATCCCCTTCGAAAGTTGCCTGTTACGTATGCGGCCTTCGCAGCTGCCACTTTTGAATGTCAAGCAGAAAACAACAAGGGACACCTGAGTGGTTCAAACTTCGCCGAAACTGCTCCAAAATACGAGTTCCCCAGTTGCAACCAATGCCCTTCCTGCCCCAGCAAAAAGGGAAGGGTTGAGAACCAGTGTGAAAGCCGTCAAACAATGGAAAAAGGGTACCACTGGGAGTTCCGCAACAACCGTGGATGCAAATCACAAAAGAACCAAAACTCGCTTACTCACTGGCTTGCTCGGCTGGTCGACTAGAATATGTGCATCATGGAAGTCGGAAAATCATAACAGCTATTGTAGTCAAAGAAAAAGCACGGTTTGATCCTTGACTGGCCTGCCTGGATGACTGTTTAGCTGGAAAGTGCGTGTCGCGGACATCCCAAGGACAAATTTCAAGGCAACTGAAGACCGGTTCGCTCACTTGCGGCTGGTAGTCTTGCGTGAGCAAGCCGTGTATATCCAAAACACAAACAGCTACATGCAAGGCGATCAATATTTCTTGCCCCCAAATGACAATGGGTAACTTCTCCCATTTGGTGGGAAGGCTATATTCTGTTGCGTTTTGCCTAATGATGGTCATCCCACAGAACCACCTTTTCATCAACCGCCATGTCCATTCAGCAGCGAAAACACCAGCTGAGCAGTGTTCTAAACCCAGTTGTGGGCCAAGATAAATATCAAATCCCTTCCGCAAAGGCTTCCGCGGAGCTTGCGCGGCCCGAAAGGTTCCTTCCGCAAGAGGTTTGAAGAGGGAATCGCTTCTGCGTCGCTTCCGCGGATTGAGAAATGGGATCGAAGTTTGTTTTCGGTTCCGCGCGTGAAGGAAAACTACAATTTCTTGCTTTGAAATCGATATTTCCTCCCGAATACTACTTTCAAGTGCAGGGGTTTTAGAACGTCGCTCAGCTGTCTACGACTTGACCAGATGTTTGAACCACCTCGCATGTAAATCTTTGAGCCAAACAAATCCTGCCTGGGACGCCCAAAGGAACCCAAAACAACCTTCAAAAAAAAGAAGAAGAAACAAAAGAGGCTTTGTGTCAAAATCGACTGCTTTCATTTCCAGGGAAACTTCAGGTACATCCGCTGAGCCACGACCAATATTTGCTTTTTGCCAACATGACATTGAGTCGGTGTTTGTGTTTGACACGAAGTGCTCTCCCATGCTCTCCCCCCATGTTCCCTCCCAAGTGGACCATATCCAAATCAGGCAATATCGACGTCGAAAACACACGTCATATGATAATAATATGGCTCGCCCCAAGTACATTCAACAATTATGGTTTACCCCCTACTTTTTGTTGGATATTTGCAGCTCGTCCTCAATGTTCCTCCCAACTGGACACTCTCCCAACGAACTTCCCGTTCATGCCTTTTTTACTGATCTTAATATGGCCGCTTGTGTCAATCCCAAACTGACTGCAGACTGCCGGATACCTTGAACATCTCATACAGTATAAACTTCTGGATCGCATCCAGCTCCCCAAGGGTGACTGCACGCACCCCGTCTGCAAACCCTTTGGGGCTGTGGGTTTGAGGTTGCCTTTTCAAAAGAAAGTAATTCTTGCAGGTCCCCCTCTTTTCGCTCTTTTGACCCATTCCCCCTAGCAAATGGCCCCAGAAAGGTTTGACCAGACTGTGCCCTTCCGCACCTGGCCGCGCCGGCTAAAGCGCACCACGAGGTGGAAACATGTAGCCATGGCTCGATATCCGCGGCGAACGGCCAAGAGGCTCCGTTCCGCGTCGAAGCCAACGGCTTCGCAATTCTTTCTGCTTCGGGAGAAAGATGCCAAGGCCAACCCTCCCTCTTCCTCCCCTCCCCTCCCCTTCCCTCCCCTCCCCTCCCCTCCCCTCCCCCTACCCTGCCCTGCCCTCCCCTCCCCTCCCCACTCAACCCCCTTGTTCCTCACCTAAGAGCTTTCAGGTGAAAGGGAAGGGTCCTCAAAGATGGTTGCGCTCTACAAGGGGATCCTGGCCCACAGGTATTTCAGACACCCTGCAAGAGAGGTGAGACTCTAATAATACTTGGCAGGACTAAACTAGTACTAAGTAATGCCGAACCAACACTAAGCCAATCCAGAGCCAACAAAACCAACTGAGGCCCAAAAAAGCCGAATTCTTTCAGACACCCTTTACTGAGAAGAAACTCCCTGGGACAGTACCGAGGAATACTAAACAAATGCAAAACAAATTCCGAAAACTACTGAACCTGTACAAAGCAGTACTAAACCAATACTCCCCCAAATCCAAGCAGCACCGCGCCGGCTCAAGCGAACACTAAAACTCTGAAACAATTCTAAACAGGTACCAAGCAGAGACAGTTACCGAGAGACTACTTTGTAGGCTCCCCCTGTTGACCCAGGGGGGCCCTTTACCATAGACTGGGTTGGAAGCGTGCGAGTGATCCGAGACTCCGTGCACGCCGACTTGTCTGGACAGCAGGATGTGCTCCCGCGTCTGCGGCATGGGGCCATCATAGCCTCCGCAAAGAGCTCGGCCCAGTGCTTCCAGGGCCGTCTTATTTCCAACTGAGTGGACAAGGGGAAATAATACAGGCAACCAGGGAAACCACCATGTGAAACCTAGAGGTAAAAATGCGTGGTTGTCGATGTAGAAGTGCGCTTTCGAAGTAACTGGAAGCACTGGGCAGGGGTTTTGCTTTGCTGTTGGCGAGAAGCTTCAAGTCCCCAACTCACTTCCTGAGCGGATCAGAACAGGTCTCTCGACTTGTTCACCGCTAACATTTTCCTTCGAAAACTTCCCAAACAGTAAGTCCTGTTGGGGGAGAATGCCAACTATGACGAGTCTGAAACACCCCTTCTGCGCAATGAAAGCACCCGAACCCCATGGCGCTTGACAGGGCTCCCAAGAGAAACTTGTTCTTCCATCCGACAGGGCATTTTTTCTCGGGAGGAAAAATAGCTGGACACAGCGCTCAGAAGCGTGCGAAGATCGCTTACCTTCCGCCCCTTGCGTCAGGACGAGGGGTGACGGTGACAGGTGTTTCTATTTCTGGGTTGTCGTTGCCTGCCCCAAAGGTTTGACTTGCCGGCCAGTGGGGAAGATACATTTAAAGACCATAAGCTCAGGTGATGTCCCCAACAGCACCACGCCCGCATGGTTTCTGAAGATGTGGAAGGCCCTACTCGGCGTACGGATTGGATCCACGTATGTGATCCTCGAAACCGCCCCGTTCGTTCCTGCAACTTTTGCGGAACCCTGCGGAACCTTACCTCAGAGACGCCTTGCGGAACCCTCGCAAAACTCTCCTTCAACCGCCCCGCGCATCCCCGTAACTCTCTTGGAGCCTTTGTGGAACCCTCGCGGAACCCGCCCGTGCGTCCGAGGAACCCTCGCAGAACCCTCACGAAACCTTGGAGAACCCTGGCGGAACCCTGCGGAACCTTTCCTCAGAGTCGCCCCGGACCACCCCGGAGCATATCTGGGCTGAGACCCCAACGCTTTCAGCTGTGGGGGACAAAGCAAATGTTCATTTCCCCGAACCAGTGGAAGGCCAAGTTTCCAACCAAGTTGCGTTCAATTGTTGTCTGCTCTCACCATACTGCAAGGGACGCAAGTTGTCATCTTCTGCTCTTGACATCACGGAAATCCACGTGGTTCGCTTTGAATCAAACATGTGAGCCAAAGGCCCGCTTGGCTCAGGAGATGGAGTACATTTATTCTTGTTTTTCCAAAGGCCAGGAACAGCCTGCCTGAAAACCAACTTGTAGAGTTCACTCACTCGGCAGGAACCCTCTCTTCCAAAAGTCATGGACATGGGAACCAAAGGAAAGCAGTTGTTGTTTCGGAGCTCTTCCACCTCCCAGTCCTTCCAGTTCTTCCTGGCAAGCCGCGTTAGGTCACCAGCAAAAGCATCGGTTAAAACTTAAAAGGCAAGAAACCCAGGGAATCGGAAGCAGTGGAGTAACTATGTCCCAGACTATAGCATCTTGCAAGTAGCCCTTGCCCCTCTTTTCCAGCCTGACACCACCAGGATCGCTCCGTCCATCTGCGCAGCCTCAGCCGAGCTAAGAACATGGCCACAACTGGGTGCAACCAAAATCGGATGGCGATTTCGGGGCTTAAACACATAAGGCAAAAAGTGTCCCTTAAAGTGGCTGTTAAGGAGTTCTCAAAATGACTTGGGGGTGGTCGCAATGTCGGGCTTCCTCCTAGTTGTTCCCTGCTTATCCAACGGTAGAAATTAGGCGCCTTGGTGGGATTCTGAAAAAACCAAGCCGTTCTGCCCCCGTTGTTCGGCAAGGGCTGTCCATAGGATGGCGCAATTGCTCGGGTGGGTGAGCTCCAAACAAATGGGCATGAATCAGAACAGGACCCCACAAAGTAGGTGGTTTCCTTTTGGTCTCCCACCCCAAAAAAGGGTACTCTCAAAATGACCATAGGGGAGGTTTTGCAGGGAAACCAAAAGGAAAACAACCCGTTTTGGAGTACCCAAATGTTCCACGGAATGTTCAACTTGGCGCTGGGCTCCGGTGATCATGTTCTTCACATAATCCGCGTGCCCGGGGCCTCGTAGAAGCCAAAATCTCGCGACGCCGGCCCAGAGACAATTGTTTTTTTTGCTTTTGCGCAAAGGCCAGATTTGGCTTGCTAGATCTTGTTAGCAGTTGGCTTTATTTGCCTAAAGGGGCCCCAAAGGGCCAAACGGCCCCCCATCAGGCCAATTATGCGCTGGATCTCCGGGAGCCTCCTTCATCCAAACGCTTCATCTAGATACTTCAAATTCACCCCCCGCCCCCCAAGTGGAAGGTTAGGGGGAAATCACCCCAGTTGCTGACTTTGATAAACTCCAGCAGTCATGATCCCAGTTCGGGCCATGTTGGCTTAACCAGCTTCCATGAACCTTTCCCATGATGAGAACTCCTGGCTTTTGATTGTTGAAGGGAACTAGTTGCGGTGGACCATTTAAGCTTTGACAACCCCTAGATAACAGTCAACATCATGCCCCCCGACACTATGCTCGACTTGTCGAAACCCTTAGCAGTAAGGTTGGTGTGATATCCCAACTCAGCTTATACAGCTTATACATTCCACGTTCCCCTGAGATCATGCAGAAGTCCCTGATGGCTTGTAAACCCTCATGTCATTGCAGGGCAACAAGCCTATGCAAAACACAATCCATCCAGATGCAAGCGCGTAACCTCTGCCCTTTCCTCGGCCCTCGAACGTGGATTTGACTCAGCTTCCGACAGTCCACATGGCCATAGTGCCTCTTGTCTGTCTCGTACTCCACGTGAGACTGATTGATGGTGATGCCGCCTGAGTCGGCTCTGACGCGACAATTCTCACCCACATAAGGTCACCCCGGAATAATGAACCTGGTGGATCTTAGGGGGGGGTCCTCTCAAGCTCATCCAAAGCCTGTAAATGGGACACCTCCAAACAAAAATCAGCCAGGGATTGGTTGATGGGTCACCGTTCTCAAAGGGACTGGGGATGTGGCTCCTCAATGGGAGCTCGGAGTAACTTCACTTCAAAGCGCTTTGAAAGAGTACCTGAAATCCCTCAGGAGTTTCTTGTCTATTTTTGAACAAACTCCGCATGCTTCTTGGGTTGTCCGAAGCTTTGCAGCTGAATCACATGGGGGTTGTACGCCTACCATTCAGGGGTTATGACCCCCATTTCCGCCAAAGATGTAAACCATATTATGTGTATATGCATATATAGAATATATGGCAGTGGGTCAAAACTAGGTACCCCAAATGGAACCCTGTTAAGTGGAAACATGGACCAAAACTTGCGGTCCCCTGGTGGTTTAAATATATACATGAATAGATTACTCGCCCAACACATGGAGACACACTTGGAACCTCCGGTCTCGCCGTTCCTAAGTCTCCGCACGCTTCTTCTCCTCCGGAGCCTTGGCTCGAAGCATTCACCAAGGCTCGCTTCCGCATCCGAGCCGCGGACTGTAAACCAACCAACCCAAAGGTTCCCCGAAACCCCAAAGGGGCGGGGGAGAATTGCTTGATTATCATAATTAATGCTTTTGTTTTGGGGGTAGCCAAGCAAGTTTTGAAAAACCCACACACCAAATTGGCAAAAGTTCGGCGAACATTCCAGAAAACCAAGTCGGACCTCCGGTGGCTGCTGAGTGGTTGCCAGGCATCTATGGTTCATAACATCTGCAATTTCTACAATATGTCCAAGATCTGGCATGGGCATGTTTTTTTTGGGGGTTCCTCTTTGGGGGTGGGTTTGCATTAAAGGAATGCCAAAGTAAAATTACCATTTGAGGCTCCCCTAGTCTAAGACGCACAACACAAATTGCTTATTCAAGTAAGGACCTACGTCACGGTAAGCTCGTTTTACCTCCAGGCGAGCTCGCCATAAATTAGGTGGAAGCATCCAAATGGTTCCGGTTGCAAGCCAACTGTGGAAACTTATTGCTTAAACCATTGAACAGTTTGCTAGTCTAGCATTGAAAGAACAAAGAAATAATCATTGAAAGAACTCAAGGAAAAATACAAAATGTGTCCAACACTTGTTTCCAAACCGCTGGATACTATATCCCCACAAACAAACAACAACATCCCCTGAATGATGGACAAATTGTCGGTTCCGGAGAAACCAGTTATAAATAGTCCAGCAACAACCGAGCAGGGAGACGAATAACAAAGCACAACCGCAAGGCTTGCAGCATCGGCCGGTTTTCACTCGCCCAGAGACAGCGGCGAGGAGTCCAATGGCCCAAGGGATCCCGCCTTTGACCAACCCAGGGCCCTCTGCTTCTGTGCTTCCCTACGAGGGGCTTCCCGGCGTCCTCATAAGCCAATTTGAGGGCCCAAAGTCTATCTGAATCCTTAGGAAGCAACGACTCCGAAGGGTGAGATGAGACAAACGCCTTGAGTTGACAACCTTTGTTCAGAAACATACCCGACATACCGTGGGTGTTTTTTCAAAGGGACACCTAACCATTATCTCCTTCAAGCCTCCCCCTGTTCCAATCTTAGTTGGCACTATTATACCCTGCACTGCACTCGCCTTGTCAATAGCATCGTATGCCTTGAACTCAGCTCTTCCTTCGTCAGCCATCACCTGCAGAGGCAACAACAAAGCAGTCGTAGCCGACTGGTCCAGCTGCCGGGTCGCTCATGCTCGAGACTTTACCCTAGAACCAGCGTTCATGCAGGTGGACAAGCTGCCTTTCAAGAGGACGGTTGTCTCAATTCCTTCCGTGCACTTCCCTGGGTAAGCAACACACGAATGCTCACAAGCGCAAGGATGGTTCAAGCGGTGTCTTCAATCCCGGAAATCGAAAGCGGGCTTCTCTCTCATGGGATAGCACGCATGTTAAAAATGAGAAAATCCACGGGGCGGAGCCGGGCCTTACAAAGTGAACATTTCAAGGGGTTCTCAGAAAATTACATTCGGGGCATGTTACCTTTCAACCGCCGTTTGGAGACATTTTTTGAGGATGCCACTTTTAGTGCCCCCCCCAGTGCAAACCAAGGTTGTGTGAGGGAGCGGAGGTGATGACTTCAGATAGCGCCACGCTTCAACCGCGCCTTTGTGATGGCAGCTGTCAAGGTCGTCTTTCCTGAGTCGCGTGGTACAGTTGCCCGAATCGAAGTAGAGTATTTCATTATGGGATTCGACATGTGTCCTTTGCAATGCTTAGTTGGCATGCACAGCGTTGCTGCGCAGCAACAAGAACCCACCAAGACAGGCAGCCACCCTGACCCCTCCCAGGGTGAACCCGTTTTGGCTTCCCTTGAAAAAGAAGCGGCTGGTGGTGAAAAAAACATACCCCACTCTGCTTATGGGCCCTAGTATACCGCGGGTCCTTGTTGGGGGATCCCTGGTTGCCTTCCCCGGCAAAACGCAAACCAAACTTCGACCGAACATACAACAAACCCGGGAGGTATTTGAAGTATTTGTGTAAGGGATTTTACAGGATATAGTCATATCTTTTCGGAAAGGAACGCTGAACAAATGGCTGTGGTCAACAATAGGTACCCCAAACGGAACCCTGGTAAATGGAAAGAAGGACTAACACCTGCGGTCCCTGGTGGTTTAATTTTGACCCTGCGCCAGAATGATTCGTTCATGACCGCCCTTTCCGCATACCAGGGGAACCCCAAACCCATCCTTTTTGTGGGTTCCATGGAAAGGTTTTTCTGGGAACATGGATCTTCAAAAAAAACGCGTTGTTTGTGTAAAGGACCTGCGAAAAGAGACGAGCAGTGTTTTCCCCAAAAAAACGGTGCGCCAGGCGTCCATGGTCAACGTGACCAATGGTGCCGATGTTCATGTGCGGCTTGGTGCGGGTGTAAACCTGGCAAAATCGGCATTGGCATACTCCACGGAGTCAACAATTGCGGCAAAACGCGTCAGGTGGGGAAAGATCTGTCTTCGTCCATGGGTGTTGAAATGCGGGCTTTGGGTGGGTCCCACTCGTCTTGGTGAACCCCCTGCCCTTTCGTTTTTGCGGGGGGACCTTCCCCGGGCCGCACCTGTCGGGTTTGAGGTCGCTGTTTCATCCCCTTGAAGGGCAGCGGCAAAGACCAGCACGTGTTTCCACACGTTATAGGAGGCAACCAAGGGAGCTGTCATGTAAACCTAGAGATAAACACATTGTGTGAACTGGCATCATGTTGGAACTGCAAAGCAAACGTGAGGTGCTATGGATCTGCAAAGCACATCCAAACACCGCATGACGGGACCTCCGTGGGTGAACACGATAACTCGCACGTTTGAACACCAAACTGCGGACTTCCAGTGGTGGCAAGAGAGGCACGCTCAAGGGGCACCACCAGAGGTCTGGGCAAAAGATAGGTTCACCAACGTGGGTGCCGAATGGGTGGTATAGAGAAACGGTTCCCCATCCCCTGTTGGCTTCATTTTGGGGCAAGCAGTGGGCTAGGAAAAGGCACCAAGAGGTAAAACTAACGCTGGATCTTCTGGGATCCAAACGACTTAAACATCCCCGAAAAAGCCTTGCTGGTTCTCAGCAGGGAACGAGGGAAGACCCGTTATAAACCATTCCCTATGGTTTCCTTTATATAAGAAATCCCCTTCCGGTTCATGGTCTCGGTCAGTCCTTCCCGACTAAGCACCGGCAAGGAAAGGTAAACCTAGGGAATGGTTTATGGGGGTCATTCCCTGCTCAGCACCTTTCTGGGGAAAAAAAACAAGCACAGCCGGAAGGTCATTCCCTGCTGGCTTCTGGGGTTCAAAAGGGGTCTAAGTACCTCCTTAGAAGGTACCAAGGGACCCTCTGGGAAAGGAAAACCCCCCTCTTCCGGGAGAGATAGAGACTTCAGCGTCTCGCTGCGCATCGAGCGCTTGCAACTCTCGCCAGGCCGGCGCCCACAGCGAAGCTACGTGCACCTGGCACCGACCGCCGCATGGCACCCCTATCCAAGAGACACAAGGAAGTTGGATCCCGGTGGATTTCAGCTCTGGTGAAATCTTGACTACCCTCGTTCCAGCCTGGAATTAGACAGAAAGCCTTTTGAACATGCCGCACATGCCAGTAGTCTTCCAAACCTTTCACAGTTTTACCTTCTCAAGCCAAGGAGCTGCAAAAGTGCAAGGGTTCGATTGGCAGGGCACTCGGCACCTGGATGGAAACAAAGGAGCCAAGACCATTTTTCAACGGGGGGGCGCTCATCCTTCAGAGGCGCGGAGCGACCCTCGAAAAAACTCACAAGGGCCTGGACAAGGAACAAGGGGAAATGGACGTGCTGCAACAGGGATACACAAAACGCAGCACCAAACAACAGGAAGCAGTGAATCAACATCCTCAGCCCTGTAATTGGTGGTTTGGAGCCCGGTGGTTTGGTGGTTAAGGGCTGGTTTCCCGAAATTTACCCCCTACACATGCCAGAATGTCAAATCCCCAAACCACCAATCCAAATCACCAACTAGTGGGAAGCTGAAAAAAGGCCCCGCGGCCAAACGCCTGGGAAGCGCATAGCGCGGAGGCTCCGCGCCAGTGCGACGGCCTAGGCGGATGGACATGTCATCTAAGGGAAGGAAAAACAAAACAAAGCAAAAAAGCACGCCACCCCAGAATTCACCGGTATTTACAGCTGCGTTCAGCCTTTTTCGGGCTTTTGGACAAATCAGCCACGCATGGCCTTTCAGAAGACAACCATCCATGTGTTGCCTATATGTATAGGTTGTGGGCGCTTTCAAACAGTTTGCCGTTAAGCATCCCTTACAGAGGAGCTTCCGAGTTGAAAAAACAACATGTATGCGTATAAGGCTACCTGTATCACTCCTCCTGGTTCTGGCCCATGCGTTTTCACATCCTGTGGGCTACCAGTGGGCCTTGAACAAACATACCCGCAAGCAAGACGGGACCAAGGACCGAATTTAGAGAGAGGCTCTGCGGGGTCTATGGCTGCAAAAAGGTGGATACAAATTGCAAACATACATAAATTATGTGGCTGACATCGCACAGTAATGAAATCTGATTTTCTGTGGTTGACATCGATCTGACAAGAAAGTTTGCAAATTACTGATCTCCCCAGATTGAAAATCATTGGAACCCCTTGGGCAAGCACCTTCATGGGTGAGCTCGTTTTGCCCACATCGGAGAGGGGTCAATTTGCCGAATAAACAGGTTGCTGTAGGCCTTTCAAAAAAAATAAAACAAAAATGTCAAACCTGAAAGTATGGGTGTGTCTTTTTGAGGAAACCTCAATTTTGCTGAATTTGAAAGTGAAGAAAGGGAATCCAGAGTGATTATAGCCGTTTAAAGGGGGTAATTTGTTTCAAGACACAAGTCAGACATGCCAGAAATCCTGATCATTGGAGTCCGCTGCCGCGGTTCTCATGCTTGAATGCTTACACTCAGGCATGAAGCTGGGCAAGCAAGTCGGGAAGGAAGACACGTAGAAACACATTGGTTTATCTCAATGTCTGGGAATTCTGCTCCCTTTAAACCAGCCAAAACAAGGCCAACAACCACTCCTAGATCTTCCAGCAGCAAGGGTATACAGAGTAGACCAGATCCGCCCCTTCCGTGTGCCGGCCGGGAACACACAGGGCGCATACAAAGGAACACGATTGCATTCCGCCCCGCAGGACCCCAGGTTCTCAACACCTTTCTGGGGTTCATGGAGTTCTGAGAATCAATCTGGTTCCGACCTGGGTCGCTGGCCATCGCGACTGCCGGAACTGAAAAATGGGGGGTAGCCTGGCGAGTCAGTCGCTTGCGCAATAGGACGATCATGTGTGTGTGTAGCGTTCAAAAACTCATGTGTTAGAAGCTCATTGAGGGTCACCCAAATCTTCCCTGGTAGGTTTGAAATGGACTTCAAATCGATTCGCAGAAACCGAGCGATGGAGAACACCTTGACACATGCATGTTACAGCGAACATCTTTGGCTTCTATGCAAAAAGTGAAGGAAAGGTCGTGGCGAGCCACTCCTGCAGGGCGCATGGTCGGCCTGGGTTCTCCGGGCTAGTGTGGAATAGGCCGCGGCGTGCTTACCATGATCACGGATGCGCTTGAGCGTCTGAGCGCGGAAACCAGCGCCCTTCTTGCAATGCAGCGATAGCCACAGTCACCGTTGCCGCCCAGGTCGGCGGGGGTCCAGCCGGAAGCAAGACCCTCTTCCAAGCTGCCAGGGAGATCGTGTGAATCGGCGTCCCAGCAAGAAAGATCACTTGTTGGACAACCTTCTGCGGATTCAAGCTTGGAGTCATTTGCACAGCTACGATTTTGAGGGTGTTGAGTTGTACCTCTAGTCTTGCTTAAAGAACATGTCCAGGCAAGTCATACGAGACCCTATAAACAATGCCCTGCACTCAATGCTGCTGACACTTGGACACAATGACCTGTTTGACTGGCCCAGTAGTCAGAGAGTCAGAGGCACCTTTGTTGGAAGAAGAAAGCTACACTCACCTCATGTTTCCCGCATAGACCCCGGCTGCCAGGAAGCCTTATGCTATGCTGAAAGGGTTGTATCAGGTGTGACCTTCTGTGTAGATTGTGGTCCCTTTGACGTAAACTTGCAGCTCTTTAGGCTTCATGAGCAACTCCCCCACATTCACGCAGTGCACGCAGGAAGGTTCTCTGCAAGAGTGGGTTCCCGATGAAAATGGGCACCTGTGATCAACAACTTGGGGAGGTTGACAGTATCATGTGTCACCAAGGCGGGCGAGTCAGCATATACATGTAAAGCGCAGCAAGTTGGCCACATTTGTCAGGGGTCATTGTTTCTCCCACCAAATCGCATCGTACCAGTTTAGTGGAAACATGATTGCGACGCCGAACTGTTTGATCCTTCCAACGCGAATTCATTCAGACCCCTGCTTCTGTGTTTTTTGTTCTCTTTTGTTTTCTTCTTTTTTTCTGGCAACTCAAGGGACTCGACCGTCTGGTTGAACAAACACAACTCGCAGGGAAGGTTCATCAAATGCGAGGTTGAAACCCAACTCTGCCTTGCACGATCACTAGTGGGGCAGGCTGGCTGTCATTATTTTTCCGCGACGGAATGCATTGTCTGCAACGGACAACTTCACAAACCACAGCCCCTGAAAATTAAAGGATATCCTTGCTGAACATCTTGACCGAGGTCCAACGCACCTCCTCTGGTTCATTGGTAAGCTTGTTGGTGACCCGCAGGCGACCAGTCTCTGCGAATCCTTGCAGCTTGAGGGAACCACTTAACTCCCAAGCCATCTGCTCGTTTCCGTGGCCGACCTTTTTTGGTTACCATACACCAAAATGGCCCCAAGTGACTCAAGTCCAGGAACTCGGGGCGAGCCCCACCTGATCGGCTTGGAACGGGCCACCTGCTCGCCCTTGAGCCCGGCGGAATGGGCGAGGACGCAATCAATTTCCTGAAGTCTCCTTCTGACCTTTAGAAATGGTTGGTCATTACCCAACATCATGGGGTCATGGACCCATTTTTAAAGGGTCATGGAGACTCCAGGTCACAACTTTTGCTTTTTAACTAGGGAGGGCGAACGGAGGTAGAGCCCACACTGGTTGCACACAGTTTGAGATTTACTGGGGAATCGGGCCACGATTGGGGGTGCATGTGCGAACTGATTTTGACTCGCTATAGCCCAGCCTTTTCTCCATGGTTTGAGAGGAAGCCAAAAGGAAAACCAACTTCCCCATGGCCATATTGCAGGGATCCTGATGCGCTTTTGGTGGGTACCCTTTCAGGCTGGTTTACGGCAACCAAAGGGAAACAACACTATCTTGGGGAGGGTCCCCCTGTGCTTAACACATACCCAAATCAGGGTTGCCAGTGCTTACCGGCAAGCTACTATGGGGGGAAGCCATGGTGCAAAACCTAGGCAAGAAACGCTGGCTACCAACTTTAGTAAAACTGGAAGAACTGTTGTAGATGCTCGAACATCATGTTCGCCGCACCTGGTTGGGCCTTTCCCTTCGTCTCATCTCAGCAAGCTTCCTAAACCTTGGCATGGTACCAACAAAAAGCTCTGCACAGTTTTTGAACAGACCAAACACCCAAAATACTAATGCAGCAAGGAGGACACAGCAAGGTTTCTGAATCTTGCACAGTTTCTTTTGTCTCACTTGAGTGGATTCACCCACAAAAGTCCAAATCTTCTTGTTTACCAAAGATTATAACGTTCTGAAACTTGGGACGCGTTGTACCGGCATGCGGCAGACATTTTTCTTCGGTCCGCTCTGGGCCCTCCGTTTGGAGGGCCAAACTTGCGGGCAGCAAACTGACGAGTGACACCCCCCACGCAAGTGCAAACACGTGATTCATAAAGCAAGCTGCTGCTTCAAGATTTGCTTGTTGTGTGGTAAACACGGGCATCCGTCCTCTGCTCCTTGTGTCCCTAAAGGTGGGTGCTCTCTCTCTCTCTCTCGCGCGAAAAGTGACACGTGAAACCGTTGACCTCCTGCTTACATTACCAGCCGCTCCCCTGTGTAGTCCAGGGTGTATGAAAACCTCGCCGGAAGCCAAACCGACGCCTCGAAAACCTCTCCTCGCATACACACAGACCCGTTACCCGGTCCAAATTTATGTTCACTGCCGAATTCAAAACGTTCTTTCTTGAAATCCCCAATGCTTGTGTGGAATCAGAATTGTCCAGACCCGGAGGAAAACCGTCCGGCCCAAGGCATTCTCAGCCTGCAGCTCAAGTCACGAAACGTTATACATCGGAAACAAGCGAAACGCCGTAAATGAACCAGCTCGAGGACTGGGTGCTACAAGGGGATCTGGAAACTGGCTTCGACAACTCATTGTAATATATATATATATATATACATACACTTATAATTAACTTGCTAGCTAAACACATAAACAAGTACCAATAAATAATAAAATAAACAAACAACCCACAAAATAAATAACTCGGTAAACAAGCCAAACGGTAATTAAACAATAAATATTTATATTGTAAATCGATACATACATAGGTAATGGATCAACCAATAAAGAAAATATAAGCCATCAAAACAAGCAATAACTTATCAACTCAAGACATAAATAAAGCAAGCAACTAGATACACAATATATATATATATATGAATCTATATATGAATCTATATATATATATATGTATATATATATATATATACATATGGCCATGGGTCAAAACCCCGCACCCACATTGAACATCCCAATCCCCACTAAAATAGACTTGGGTGGTGCACCTCTTCCAAAATGGTACCATTGGTTTTGAACCATGGCCATATCCATCTCCGTGTGCTCCTACTGAACCTTACATCTAAGTATGTCTTGCGGTCTTTGGAACCCCAACGGGTCCAACATGCCGCGTTGTTCCCCACCTTCTTGCCCCGGTTGGCAACTGTACTGCTGCCCCCTGTAGATAAACATGGCCCCCCACACCTGGTTTTGGAGGAACAATCATATTTGTGGAGGCGCCAAAGTCAAACATGTACGGGACAAACATAAATGCGAAATGAGTGGTTCATCTGGCCCCCACGTGCCTCCCAAATTGACCATCGACTGCGTTATATTTTGACCGAAACGAAATACACACTGCATACATGAACAGTTCTTGAACGCTCATTGATTTGTCGGAGCGCACAGCCTCCGTTCACAACCTCTGTTTCTTATTTCAGAAAGGCCCAGCCGAATTTGATCCTTCCAAGGGACTGTTTAGGTTTGCGGACTCCTGCCTTTGAGGGGAGCCAGGTAACACCCCCAACAAGACTGTGTTAGGCCAGCGAATGGACAAATGACTTGCACAAAGCCTGGCAAAGGAAGCAAACCATAGCAAAGAAATTCGAAGGGCGGAGATCCGCGTCGCTAACCTTCAACTGTCCGGACTTTGATGGCTCAAAAAAGGTATTGTTGCAACGGCCGGCTTGATCCGCTCTTGAGCCCGTGCCGAGAGCAAACCAACACAACGTCCAACATTCATACCCCTAGATGTACATTGCGAAATGGCACTAATATCAACTACCTGCCATACGCCCAGTTCGGACCTGGAAAATCAAAGGCGGTCACCTTTTTAGAACCTGAATGGACCGACATGGGAAAAACAAAAGGCGACAAAGTGAGCTTTGAAGAACTCAGAATATGCCGTGCCCACGCCCCCCCCCCCCCACAATATGCCCATGGCCCATGGCTGGAGATGTCTTATGCCAGCACCCAACCCCCACCCCCCAATGCCCATCTCCAAGCCCTGGACTTGGGCCGGCCATGGATGGGCGGGCTCGGGCTGTGAATGCCCAAAGACTCCTGGAGTCGCAGGTGGGGTGAAGTAAGCACCGGGTTCAACGAATCAAATCAAATCCGCACGATACGAACATGGGCTCCTTGGGCTGGCTGAACCTGAAGCAAAGTGCTTCTCTCTCGGCAAGAAAAATGGCCCCTGGCCCCAAATGCCGAGAGTCACTAATGGGTTGCTATGGCTGCCCCTGCAATGGCTCCAAATCTGTGTGTTTCACGCTGGAATGCCAAAAGGTAATCCCTGCGAAGCTTTTTCAGCCTGTTGCGTGGATTATAACAATTGCTATAAGTGGCAGAACATGGGTTGACAATCCATTCGCATAGTTATAACCTACTTAATGTAAGTAGTTGAAGATCCAACAACTTTTTGTTGAACGGGGCGGGGGGCAACTTTGAAAATACAAAATCGCAAAGCAAGGGCTTGGGCACTTGTTTCATCATGTATCTACCCGAGGGCTAGCCATTGGTATATGCTGGGTTGGGCCTCTCGCGCCAGGTACAACACGTCGAGTGTATTGTGACTGAACCTCCATTGCTCAGTTCGGAAGACTGGGACTCAAGGGTCTCAGCGCAACCTTCACAACATGAGCCCTCGCCAAAACCCAGTAGACAACTATATCGCAACCGAACCAGCGGGCCCAAAAGCCAATGGAGTTCAAGACTCCAGTGCTCCAGTTCCGGAAATGCTTCTGAGCCTCGTCATCTCAACACCGAAGGACGTGGTTCTTCGATTCTTTCTCGATTGGGCATAAGCCACAGCGTTTCGTCACATCGTCTTACGGCAAGGCAGTGAGCTCCCGCTGACCTGGCCACAAGGCCGCGCCCCCGCCCTTCCTGGCCGCGAGGAAGCCGGGGATTCGGCCTGAGGCGGTGCAGGGGGCCTCCTTTTCCTTTGCATAGTTTGCACATCCAGACCTGGACCCCCAAATGGACCCCTGTTCTTCCGCCTTTATACCCTTTTATGGGTAAAAGACAGGGGCCCTTTGGGGGTCCAGGTATGTGGATCAATAGCATTATACCAAAACGCATGCAAAGTAAAGCAAGACGATGTGAAGCAAGGGACGGAAGAAGTGTCAAAACTTGGTTATCCCAGTGAAAGCTAAACCTCCGAGGGACAAAAGCAACCCAAAGGGTCTAACTTCGGTGTTTGTTCTATTTGGTGTGAACTTTAAGTGGGACCCGGACTGGTGGACATCATCTAGGTGCGGATTCACGTCCGCCAACCTGGTTCCCAATTCAAATCAGGGCCATATCCTATCAGAGGCCTCGCACTTTGAGACCAAGCCCTGGCAACGTCAACGCGCGAGTGTGGCGGGCTGGGGCAGCTTTCGGAGCAACTGAGGGCTCTGCAGCACCACGATGGTAGATCCATCCATGGTTCTTCGCATCCTCAGCCCCGTGCCCCGTTTGATCGACTGGTTTCAAGGAGCGAGGCCATGATACCAAAGTGAAATGCCCATCCGCAAGGCTACTTTGTCAGAGGGAAACCAAGAGGTATGTCTATTTTGGAGGGTGCCCACCCATGGTGGTTTCAGAGGGAAACCAAGAGGAACACAACCGTTGTGGGGGGTGCCCTAAAACAGACAGCCCTGTTTTCCCAAAAGGAAAACCCAACAATGGGTACCTCAAGGTCTATCCTGGGGGCCAGCCTATTAATAATGTACTTATAACTATAGTAAGTTGGGGATGCTACTTGTAAGCCACTTAAGACATAGAGCTAATTACTTTCTAAGTACTTTCTAACTTTCGCATCTGTTTGCTGGCTCTAAAAGAGTTCTTTTTCGTTTCCAGCCCCGACAGGGTTCGGTTCCAAAATCCGACGTTTGCATGATAAACAAGCTATCTTAGTCCCTAGCTAGCTTGTAACTTTCCACGCGAAGTTACCTAAGTGCCTGCTAAGTACCTAACTAACTTATAAGTTTGGCCCGAACTTACCGTAGTTAGGATGTACTTGACCCACTCATAAGTCACGTTATAGGACTTGTAAGTGAGGCTATACGTTACTTACAAGTCACGCGGCCACCCAGTAGGATTCCGGATGTCTGCCAAACAAATTTGAGACCGAAGAGGTGAAAGTCCGAAGAACATGTGATAAATTGACGCCCGAGAGGGGGACATAGCGGAACCCTCAAGCAAGGGATCTTCAAAGCATGGCTCGCGATAAAACAAGCAAACACATCCGTTGATCACGCCCCTGGTCCATTGACATCTCCTCCTTGAAAGGCTGAAGGTATCAGTATGAACCTCTGGCGTGAACTGCTGCTTAACTCAAACAATTCTGGGTGTATGGGCCAAACAAAAACTCTGTTTTATGTTTACCACAAGGTCCAACTCATTTTCTGAGTGTATGGGCCAAACAGCAAAAAAACATGTTTACCACTAAACTGGTCTAACTCCCAAAAAATCGAATCCACCCACCCACCCAACCCCCAAAAAAAGAAGAAGAAAAAGATAGAGTCCAAAAACTTCATCATGATTAGACTCAGGCCCCAGTTTTAGAATTGTGTATTCTATTGTTTGCTTCACTTTGAGTCACTATAAAATGTAAAATGTATCCAACGTCTACTCCAGTCATGCTCAAGGCCAACAGCTGGGCGCCCCCGCTCCGCTTTGGGCAGCTTCACCGTCGGCAGCTTCGCCGCGTTCGCCGCGTTTGGAGCGTTCGCCGGCGCGCTCGGAGCGTTGTTTGCCGGTGCATACGCGGACGCCTGGGGTGGCTTCAAAGGCAACCTTAAAGGAAACCGAAGGAAAACAAAGGCAAGCCCAGCAAAAAGAAATGCAAGAACGGAAAAACTAGGAAAGCCAAACTAAAAAATATATCCATGGAACACAATGGGAAAAATAATTACACCAAAGCCCCTTCAGCTGGTTCGAGCTCCTTCCCGATCGGGGCCAAGTTCTTCCCCCCGCCTTCGGCCGGCGCTCCAGTCGCTCCGTGCCGGGGAGCCAGGGGGTGGAGCGGGAGCAGTGCCCCACGGAGCCCATGAGCTCGGCGTAGCGGTGGGACATGTAGCGCCGGGCAGTGGGGTCCTGGAGGCTTTGTATTTGGCGGGTGGATTGCTGTGCTGGTGGGTGTTTTCTTATTCAGAACTATGGAACCCCCCAAACAAATCAATGCGTTTTTTATTCTTCTTCTGTTTTCTAATATTATTATTTTTCGTTTTTAATTTCAGAACCAGGATTATCCCCAAACCACCAATCCAAACCACAGATTAAGGGTTTGTGGGGTGGTTCGGTGGTGTGGCGGGTGGGTGGTTTCCAATTAGAACCAGGGGGTACCGAACCAAACCAATCCAAACGAGTGGATCTGATCAACACGGTTGACCATGCTCAATGAGGAACGGAACTGGGGGATGTGGGAAAATAATGAAACATAGGGGTCTTCGTGGTGCACACTCCAAGTCTAGGGGCCATGGTCATGGCTTCCTGAGGAACATTTACTAACATTAGTGCTGCCAAATCCCTACCCACCCCCAAGCACTCTAAACCGTGAAGGGACCTTTGGACTGGTGACATATTTGGGTCTGAAGGGTCAGGGACAAGAAGGACAGCCAGTGGACACATCAAGTTGGAAAATAACCAAACCATAGGCAAAAGCGAGGTGCACCAATGAATATGTTGGTTCCTCTGCGAACCGTAATGGCGTTCCCGGCCCATTTTGAGACGCGCAACCAATCCGTGAGCTGGCCATCCCGAACCCGAGTAGACCGGCTTTTGGACAGCTCAAGGGAAACTATGAGATTGGCCATTCATTGCGTTCCCAGCATGTCACTTTGAAAGGCCCTGAGCAATTGACCTGTGGTCCATGTGCCCATTTGCCGGAAGAACAAGAGAAACTCACACAAAGTGCATTCAACCAGGTTGTCCAGAACGGGCTAGATCTTTGTTGGTGGGCAAACCACATTGCCTCATGATCGCTCGAACCCTGGGGACGAAGCTCATTCCTCTGCACAGGGACAAGCGGTTCATTCCCAAAACCCCAACGCTGATTTCCCGAGAACCGCGAGTAGTCGAGACCACGCAGGCCCCGAAGGCCCCTGAACCTGACTTCCTGAGTGGATTGGCCAAAGCTTACATGTTTTTTTGCCCCAAAAGTAACCACAGTGTGAACCTTTTGGGTCCCGGACCCCTTCTTAAGCTTCGTGCTCATCGGGAGAATAACCTTTTAAAACTCTCTCAACCTTTTGGAGCTCATAAATTCTCACTCTAAAAATCATGGGTACGTCAATTCAAGGGGAACCCCCTCCCCCTCATCCCCCTCCGCAAAAAAAAAAGACGAACAACGAGAACCCATGGCCAATTAGAGGGGAATGGGAACCCCTTCTCCCCCTCAGCACCCCCACAAAAAAGAGGAAAAACACAAATGAGAACCCGACTCAACGCACCCAACTCGATCCGTTGCACGCCGCTGTCGACTCAAAGTCCTCTTTGAGCACCTGCAGGTTCGCCTCTGAGAAGCTGTGCCCAATGCGGCCCAGCTGCTGGGCCCTCGAAACGAACGAAACGAGAGCGGTGGAGCCGGTGGTCCGATGGTTTTCCCGGTCAAAGCGCCAACCAAACAAAAACATCATGGTTTCCCTCAAAGGAGCCTTGACATAGTAGTCCAAAGTCTTTAAGAAGTGTTTGTACTATAGAAAATCACGTCATGTCTCGAGTGGCAAGTTTGGCGCCCTACCGTAGGGCAACGCCCCAATAAACCCTTGTGACCACTGGAGCCCTAGGTGATCTTTTGGGCAACTAAATCGCGGGATCATGGGACAAACTGATGGGCTTCACTTGCATATATGGTATTTGCACAAAACTGAACACCGGTTTAAAACTTGTTGTTTGCGACTAGCATGGTATTCGCAAATTCCACAAAAGCACCTAGTACCAACTCAAGGGAGAAGGTACCAAAGAAGGGACAAACTGGTGGACCAGGCGCCGAGAAAAGCCATCTGACTGTCAAAACCAAGCAGCCACCCAATGCCAGTGGCCCTGATATGCGAGGGACCCTTTCAAGATAGATCATTTTTAGTGGAACACCCAAACACAAGGAAAAGGTGACTACAACTGGGAACTCTGTTTTGCTTTCGGCACCCGTTTGGAATCAGTTCGAACTGGGGGGGGGTCAGACGATAAGCAAAAGCTTGGGAGCAGACCTGGCAAGTCTTCCTTAGTCCTCAACCCTACACCGCTCCATGAACATGACTTGCACACGCGACCCTCACAAGGGATAAATAACTCTTGAACCCCTGGTATGACCCCTAATGTCAGTGTACAATGCGCAAACCCACCGATTAAAGGTTTCCCCTTGTCCCTCCCCGAGTGCCTACACTCACCACTACTAAGTCATTATTAAGCCCCTCAAGTTTCCCCAAACATGTGCTTCCCCCCCCCAAAAAAAACAAAAAAAACAACGCACTAAGGTTTGTTTAACATGACAAGGTGTTCAAGTATTAATCAGGGCCCTTTTGGGCTCAACACAAGAAGCAGCAGTTGCCATTTAAAGTCCTATTGCCCAGAAGGGCTAAGAAGGCAAGGACCGAAGAGGTTCTCCAGGTTCCTGTTTCCCGTTCAATGGCTGGGAAGGGGCCAAGTAAAAGGACGAGGGGCCAAAGGGGCTCCAGATGAATCAGGGGGTCCGCCAAAGCATCTCAGTTTTGGGGCTTGTCCAAACCTTGTCGACTTTGGAGGGGGCTGGGGTGCGGGGGGGGGGGGCAGCCACCAGAAGCTCGGGATTTCACGCGTTCCTGCGTGGATTTGGGTCTCAGGGTCAACCTCTTTTTTGAGGCAACACACTTTAGGCATAGCCCAGGCATTCCTCGAGGCACCAAAACTATGGCTATGGGAGCCCCCGCCGGATGTTTGCTTCAATCCAACCACCAAGTGAGCCTCAGGAATGGGAGCTCGTGGTGAGCTCGTTTTGCTCCCCTTGCTATAAAGACCTTCACGTGGGCGAGCTCGGCCTCTCGCTTGGAGATCTGGATGTTTTTTGGGGTGCTGAATGCGAGCAAACGATCCGAGTGTTCGGCAAGGCTCAGCCTCCAGAAACAAATATGCGGGGTGTTGATGTGGCCTTGCTCATGAACAGAAGCAAACAATATCTTCAACTAGACGACACCTTCGCTCCCCGCTGAGGCTGCCGGCACTCGTCTCGAGTGATCTGGACCAACACACTGCGCCTTTGGCTGGGCGCGTTGCCTCTACTCAAATTGATGTGTGTGTGTGACCAATACCTGCGTTCACTCACGCGCACCAGTCAACAGTAAAGTAGCAACATATATGTTATAATCTGCCAGTCTTATTTCGGCTATTATATACTCACATGCATGTATATATATATATATATATATATATGTATATGTATAATATTCATATATATATATATATGTACGGGTTTGACCTAAACACATAATCTAAATGATAAAATTTCAGCACGCATCCACATGCGCCATGTCTGGTTCCATTGGTAGCAAGCCTCATCCATTCTTGTCTCCTCATTAAACCAAAAACATGGGTTGATGATTGTCCCTACTCACCCCCGTGGAGCAGCAGTTGGTAGGTGGCTCATCCTGACTCGGGCTTCATTCATGCCAACCGATCCAGAGTTTCGTCCGTCCACACTGAGCACACTACAATAATTCGAGCCTGAAGCAAGGAATCCCGCAAAAACCGTGAACCCCTTTTCGTCGGCTTTGACAGCCCCCGAATTTGGACACAAACACAAATGGTTCCTCCAATGGCTTTCTCTCGCAATGGGTGGGTTTGCTTTCCCAACCAACCTGAAAGGGTACTGAGGTTAACAACCACACCCGGATTCAATGATGGGTTGGTCTCAAAATTCGGGTTCCCCCTGAAATTGGAAGTTCACTTTAGCTATTGTCAATCAAACGGAGGTCTAACCAGGTCCAACCCCTTCAGAAAAGAGACACACAATTTTGACCAACAAGGTCCGCCCCGGGCCACGGCACGTCCAGAAGCCATCGCCTGAAAGTTCTTCTTCCCCAACGGGTTGCCGTCGTAGAAGGTGAAGGGCGCCGTTGTCAGAAGCTGGAGCAATGCGCCGATGCATCAATGCGAACCAAGCGATCCCGGCAAGGCGATCCAGGATCGAACAAAAGTGTCTTGTGCTGGGGGTAGATCGTGGGCATTGGGTTGACTTTGCTTCAGTTCTACTCATGTCAATGTAGACACTGGTTGCCATGAAACGGAGGCACCTTGGTCAACCAATGAGACTGTAACATCCACCAGGGACCAGACATCCCACCGTTGTGATACCAAGATGGAAGTCCCGTCACTACGACTACTTTATCAATTCAAAGGGGGGTTCCTTTGGTATCACTGAATGCGGCCCTGAAACCCAAGTCTCCACACCCATGGTTTGCCGCTTGGGCCGCTTGGAACCCTTCTCCCTCTCATTCCCTGCCTTCCTTCTCCAGTGAAAAGCCTTCGGTCGAAAACAACTGATACGCCAGTTGCATCGAGGATGCTGTTGAGGTGCTGCCTTCGTGTTTGACACTTCTAAGACCCATCCATGAAGTATGCTAGACTGATACGTTTCCTGCAAGCTGTTTTCAGTGTCATTTGTCACCCTATTTCCCCCCTTTTCTTCTTGTGGCTTGCCCCCGAAAATATGTGAGACTTCTACCCAGCTGTTCAGTGCCTCTTAGCAAAATCGGAAACCCTTTTTGCGGTTGAGGGTCATGCATCAGCTTGCAATATGTGTTTGTCTTGCATGTTATATGACTGAATACAAGAAGCTATGGCTGTGTACATAGTATGTATATAACATGCACATGCATATGTCTACATCTATATTGCGCACAATCAGTTATACACAAACAATAGTTCTGTATGAGTGTGCTTATACATGAGATACGCACATATTGAACTCGATGCCATGAGGCTACAAAAGCTGGGTATCGGTTTTGGGCGGTCCCAAAAATCGGTGTCTGCAGGCTTTTGACTTGGCGTTTTCCCCAAGGCGCCCGAATTCCGAAAACTACCAATGATTTTGTCAGATTCGCACAGGGCCCACATGTACTGGTCCTTTAAGCCAAGCTTGGAACTCATCACTTTAGGGTGGCCAAGGATGTTGCTCAGCTTCCCGTGCATGGGAGTAAGAAAGTTGACGTCCCTGCAAAACAAATCGGCAAATGAAACGAGGCTTCAGCAGCGGAATCCCCAACTTCGGAATCATGTCGCCGGAGCCACCACATTGGTATGTTCGGTCAAAATGTCTCAGGGCCATACCGGGGACTCCCTAAAGTTGCTGCCTATAAACCAGGGATATGGCTCACATTCCCTGACAAGGCTGCTCGATAAGGAACCAGCCACGGGTGCAAATAAAACACATCCGTTCATGGGTGTCCTTTGGGTAAAATAGATGGGTTTCCCTGGTAAATGGGGCATAAACCGAAGCACACCAGTAGAACCGTTCGATTTCTTGCCAAACTCACCGATCAAAAGGACACCTCCGCATCCGTTGTAAGCGAAGCGCTGGTTCTCGCAACCCTCGTGCCATGCGCCCCGGCCTTGGCCCGGTTGTTGCCTCGCAGCCACCAGTCCTAGCGCGCTTTCCAGCCCGAACCAGCCTCCCACGCCAAGGACTTGTTTAAGGGCTTCTTAGAAGGGTTCTTGTTGGACCTTTCTAGAAAAATACAAACTCATCCTGGAGCTTGATTCATCCAGGGTCGACATTGACTTGTTGAGCAGCGGGAGATGTGTGCAAGTTCAAACAAACAGTTTAAAGACCATATATACAGATCCCCAATGCAACTCAGTGCTCATTCGGTGATAGGCATCTAGCATGCTCGAGCTGCTCGCACTCAAATGCAAATACTTGAGAGTCGATATTCCGTGAGCCTCAAGCTTTTTTCGGGGACCCAACGAGGGAACATGGATTTGTCACATCACCCTCGTGCCCGTGGCATGCAACGTACACTTAACCAAACAAGAGGGTGCAAGTTGCCAGAGCGCGTCCGTCCTCATCGGGGATGGGCTCCTTGTTGTAGCGATCCCCAACTGGAGCGGCCTCACAAGAGTGGGTGTGGGAATGCTCGAGGGGGTGGTGTAGCGCGGGCTGTGTAGGGGACCTGCGAATGCGGCGATTTGCTGATGTGGGGTGCATGGAACACGAACGACAAAGTTGGCCTTCGTCACTTTGGATTTCGAACCTCAATCTCCTGAAGGGTGAGGTGCGTAGAGGACTACCTGTATCCGCAGCATGCATTGCGAGCGAGTAATCGCGGCTTTCTTAACCCCTGTAGATTAGGGTGCGCACAATCAACGATGTTCGCCAGTGCAGCTGACATTTTTATCATCCTTACTCCTGTCTGGCATCTCATGAGTCGGTCTCACATGCATACCGAGCTCCAACAATCAAGGGCTGAACTTGGTGCCTGGAGGCTTTCCCATCTGCCGAAATGAGCAAGGAGTGTCCTGAAATAGGCGGCTTCCTGCGACAACTTCAACCGTTGGCATGAATGAAACCCTATTTTCTACAGAAAAACCAACTAACGTCAGGTGCAGGAGTTTGGTTGGTCTCCTGTTGGGTTCCCTTCCGAAGGAACAGGTTGGCAGACATATCCAAGAGGAATCATCCACTACACATTCGCAGAATTATTGTACTATTTTGTTTTCTTTGTTTGTTACTATGAGGCAATCGTCAACATCTATTTTCCTAAAAAACAAACCACCAAGCTGTGCAACACTCCAACAGTTCATTCCCCCAGAGAACAAACAGACAAACATTGGATTACCCCAGCTCCCTCCAACGACTACTTGTTGAACACTACTGGGGTTCTGGACAAAGGAGGAAAACACAGTCGTGGGGTGCTAGCCTGCGAAAGGCAACCTAACAGAGCCCCCTCCCGGTGTGTCCAAACATCTGGAATCCTTTTTCCAATAAACATCACCTCATCTAGTCACCATTCTTTGGAAGCAATGCAAAAATATCCCGACTAATTATCGCTAACTATGCTCTTGGGGAAAAGGAAGTCAATAGGAAAGCCACAATTGTTGTGGGGTCCAAATTCCTATTTCAACTCATGCCCGTTTGGACCAAGAGGTCTTCAAATGCCGCTATCGCGCAAAAGCAACGCCCACGATTTGCTTGCTGTCGAAAGCATCGCGCCTCACCGGTGGCTGGATGTCTCAAGGCCTTGGTTGCGGTGACGCCTTGGGTCTGTTGAAGTGGTGGCATGTTGAACCATTGTGGGGACTGCTTTTGTTCAGGAATCCTGCATGGGCATGCTTAAGCACTGGTTGAAGTAGCACTTTGAGGAGAACCATATTCGGATGTTTGTGCTTTTGCGTGTCTAACGTCAGTTGAATTTGCGCCATTTGGACCCAGCAAAAGGATTTGCCTCATTAGCTTGTAAAATTAAGCTTGAACGGACGGGAAAGGCCTTGGGTGTGTTGCACAGCGAAAAGATGATGTTCAAAACCAACCAAAAGAACATACCGTGGATGGACTGATCCACTTCGCACCGACTGCACATTGCCTCAAGAAGTTGCGAAAAGCAACCCAAATACACTTGGGAGCCGTGCTCTGGCTGGTGCGATAGGCAGGGAAGGAGAAATGGAATGACCACTATAAACCATCCATTTCCCATGGTTTCCTTTACTCGGTTGCCCAAAGGACCTGGGACTAAAAGGTTAACCTTTTGGGGCCATGACCAAATATGGACCGAAACAGGAGAACCCAAAGGTCAAAAGGTTGGCTGTGGGCAACTGAGCTTAAGGGCATCCCAAAACGCTTCATTCCATTTCTCATTCCTTGGTTATTACAATCGCAAGTTTTCCGGGGCCCCGGCGCAGGCACTGGTCTTGCTGTTGCAAGTCTTGTCCGCCAGCCACCTGCCGTGACTGACCAAGAGAACAATACGCTCGGGAATGTCCATCTGATGACAGAGGTTTCTGATATTTCTAGGGGTTGTGGGGTTTTGAGGGGCAGAGGATTATGAACATTAAACAAAGGAACCTTCATGCGTCGAGTCGGTCCAACAAATCGATTGGTCAGATCCAACAACCATAAATGGACCCTAGTCTGATCCAACGACCTCCTCAGGTGGACAGTTGGCCCAGTAAAGTCCAAGGAACCGTGAGCCTTGGGTGACCCGAGAGTTGTAAATCAACCAAAGCCTTGGCAGATTCCAATATGTTTGAATACCAGCTGTTGCTTGTGCCCAAAAAAAAGCTTGCTTCCAACAAATGGGCTCTATGCGACGCACATTGCCCTGTCTGTTGTAGACAAATACATGCACACTGGTAAATAATTGCACCCAAACTGAAACCAGTGCTGCAAGTATCTGTGTTCAACAAACCTGACCTGAAAGGACACCTATCTCGGCAAATGTCTACGGCTCGCCAGCTGGACATATGGACATCTGAGTCAGGGGTCTTCATAGGCGAGGTTCCCGGCACACCCGAAGTCGCATTTTGGGGTGTCCTTTGGGAGTTGGTGATGTTGGGGCGTATCTGAAGGAAACAGAAGAAGACACCACCCATTTTGCTGGGGCCAAACGCTTTGGAAGCTTAATGGTACAGCTTTGGACAACGGGAAACGCTGCTGACTGCCGACCTTCTGCATGATCCAAAGTGACATCCGGGGTGGTTTTGGGACAAGCCTGACATACCTCCCTGAAATCAGCCGAATTTGGGGTTCCAATTGCGTTTGGACACACCCATGCCAGGATTGCCAGGGCTCATTGTTCCAACATGCGCCCAATACATCAACGACGTTGGTATATCAATGACTGCCTTGTTAAGATGAAAACCAATTTGCTGGTTCAAGCACGGATAGACCAAAACGGAACATCTAGGGTTGCGACGGTTCAACAAGGCTCCAGGGCAGAGCCCTTCGAATTCTCAGTGACTTGGTAATTGTTTGACATGGGTCGTGGCCCTCCATTTGCTTAAGCCTCTGAACTATAAATTATGTCCAGTAGTGATAGTTTCCCTTTAAAAAACAGGGGAACATAACAAATATTCTTAAGCAAATGGAAGTGGCATGTTGGTAAAACAAAGAGGATAACAAGCCCCTAGGAAAAAAAACAGCACGCAACAAGAGCAATGCGCGCCTCGAAACATGGCCGGAGGCTGCTTCTCCCAGAACCATCCTCACAGGGAAACAAAACACCTGCTGTGCTTTTGTGCTTGTGTCAGTGCTTGTCGTTTGCACATGTGCAAGTTCCTCCAAACCTGCAAGTTAGACAACCTAACGTCAAACTTTGAGTTGTAAGTTGCAGGAGTAGCACATGACTTTTTATTTAAGGGGGCCAGCTGCAAAGGACCTTTGAAGGAGGGCGCCTGTGTTCGACAACCTGGCATGTGTCTCAACCTATCACGGGTTGGTCCGAAGGCCGCTTTGCACCAAGCATGAGGGTCTATTTGAACATGTACCCCTAGAGATTCTAGATAACCTGTGCTATGGCGCGAAAGGGCTACCACAGAGTACTGCTATGACTCTGCAACCCCTCACAGGGGTTCCCCAAACGGTAACCTCCAAAAAAAAGACACACATGATCCTGCAAAACCAAGTCCAAAGGGTCGCACTTTCCAGGTTCAACACAAAAACCCAAGGGTCACCGGTGGATTCGCTTTGGGAAAGGGAGCGCCCAACGAAGTCCCAAGCTCCAAGGCTACGCTACAGGATCCAACAGCTTCTTCCCGATTCGTTGAACTTTCTGGGAAGTGGGTCCTAAATGTGTCCCTTCACCAACTGCCCTGCAGTTATAGCGGTGGCAATCCGGGTGCGCCTTTGGATCGGTAACAGGAAACAAGGGGAACACAGACCTCGGGAACCTCGAATTTAAGGCACCCATGAAGGCTCCAGGACTCGCCTCTGCTAAATAAAGCAGGGGGGGAGGGGGTTAAATCACGGCCCAAGCCAGTCACTGAGCGAGCGTTGGCACTCAGAAGAGAAACACAACATCAAGCATCACCTGCGCAGAATGATACCATGCTAATCTATGCTCCAGCTAGAAGTCTCTAAAATCTACCCAAGTCACTTCATTTTTGAGTGGGGAATCCAATAATCAAACCGGGATTCCCAGGATAAAACCCAGTGCACTTGCCGGAAAAAGGTATCCCCGGCGATATTATGGCCCTTGGTCAACATCGTCCCTTTTTTGGGCTAGAAAAGCCTGACAGTACCCTGACCAGCAAAAAAAAACGCTTCTTTCCCAACAGAATTTCCTCCCCAACCCGAAATAAATCTTCTGGCAAGCTGCCCCGCCCCAAATCCACAGCCTCGGAGGTAACTCCGGTCCTGTCACACCGTGCGTGACCATGTTACTCTTCCTTGAGCCGTGCGTCGGTGCGACTGCAGCTGGCCGACGCGTCCAATGTTGAAACCACCTGTCTCCAGTACCCGAAAACATGGGGTCATTTCCCAAGGCAATATGGGGAGCATTCCCCAAAGGGTCATCGAGACTCTGGTCTGTTTGGGTCCGTCTGCCAATTTGCTCAAAACGACCTTGGTGTCACTGCTTCAATGCTCAAAAACCGAGCCAGTCATCCCCCAAAAGGCGTGCGCGCGGACACACACACACACACACAGCGTTTGGATTTTGGACATATTGCTGCGTCGCTCTGATCGTACAATCAGAATGACCGGTGTCAGTCTACCCAAGAAGCAAAAAAATGATGAAAAAGGGTGTGTCTTTCTAGAGGACCCCACAATTTGTGTCTTTTTTCTTCTGGTTTCCCTTTCAAACCACAAAAAGAAGGATATTCTCAAAAAGACACCGAAAAAGGGCGACCAGACTTGCTTAGGGCTGCTATTAGAATCTACGCAGGCTTTCATAAAGTGGCCCGAGGTTTCCCCATTCACTGCCAATCCAACTAAGCTAAACATCGCGTCGCCAAGAGTCAACTAACCTCAAATGGAAAACCAACAAGTCATGTTCAAACTGGCCAAAAAGCGAAACATATGGACAGAACACTAGAGGGCACTGGTAAACCATTGAAGCCAAGCTGAATCGCAGTTTCACCTACAGTAAACCCATGGAAACAGGGTCTCAACATCAATTGGGGACACAATGGTGGACATCATTTACATGGGGATTTATCTCCACCAACCTTTGCAGGGCTCCCACAGTGCATGGCCACATCGTGAGCGCGACCTCCTTTTTCCTCTGCAGCCTTTGGCTCTCCAATACGCTCTTCCTCCACCAGAGGCGCCTCCAAAAACATGGCCTCAGCCGACGCCGGTTGCAAACTCAACTGGATGAGGTGTACGTACACTTGTTCAACTTGATATATATATATGGCTATGTGTCGAACTACGGCTCCCCATACTTTCCCTTTAAACCAAGGTGACAAAAAAGACACCGTCCAAAACACGGCCACATCTGTCCATATCTTCGTCTGCGATGTCCAGGGTGAACCAAAGTGACGGGCCAAGACTTGGGATGGGTGATGGTGAAAGGGGGAACCCACCCAACAAGTGAGTCACAATCAAAACCCGGAGTTAAAATGGTCTACCCGAAACCATGCAAACAATCCAAGGCGGCCGCAACAATTTCTGGCTGGGACTGCCCCTTACCAACCTTCATCTATCCGGGTTTTCATTGTGGCTCAAGTCTTGTTGGAACCCAAGCTGCCTGTTGACACCCTACCTCTCGGAGAAGAAACAAAACCCGCCTCTTGAAGTTGCAGGTCAAGCAAAGCAGACTGGGGCTCACAAACAAAAGACTTGTGTTATATAAAGAGGAAGTTCAAACAACCCAGAATGATAGGTCAAAAGGGAGGGGGGGTCGGATAAATGCTAGACAAAAAAACAAGCTACCAAGTGTTTGTTGAGGGGCTCGCTGTTTCGAAAAGGGTTCCACCAAGCAAACAACACAGGTGTGTTTGTGTCTTTGGTGTACCCCTTTGGTACCCTTTTAGGGTTGCTTCAGTGCTTTCAAAGGGAAACACAAGTGAAACCACAATCATCATTTTGGGGTTCCCCTACAAGACAAACCCTAAAGCATGGGCTTCGGAACCCCATTTCCTGGTTGGTTTCCGTTTGTCCCTTTCAACATGATTTATGGCCCAACAAAAAAGGGCTCCCGTGAAAAACAAGACCAACAAACCAACCGCAGCGCTCCAACCGGGGCTTTGAAGCGCCTCCCGCGGCCAATTCGTTTCGTTTCGTCGTTAGGCGCAGGGCAGCCTCGGCGGAGCGCCCCACCAGCTGGAAGCTCCGCAGCAGATCCGAGTACCTCAGAAAGCGCCAAGGGGGGGGGGGGGTGGTGGGGGGGGGGGGAACCGCCAGCAGTACACCCTGGGGTTCACATGGTGGTATGGCGGTTCCCCCCCGTCATGGGTTCGGTTGCCACCTTTAAAACCAGTTCAAACCACCAATAAAACCATGGTTGAGGATTGTCATCATATGAAACTTGGGTCCTTGCCATTCTTTTGATGGGCGCAAGGAGCTCTAGGGAGTAGCTAGTAACTCAGCTTTCAACTAAAACACCAAGTGACGCCGTCACAAATTGCCCAAATTGTTTGGAGCCAACAAGGAAACCAGACATGACGCAATCCGGCACCCGTGATCGAGGCCAAGCAATTTCTCATCCTTGCGTTTCATTGCAGGAGTTGATCCTGAACAATCCGATTTGTCATGCAATTGGAGGATTTCTCATCCAAAGAGGACGGAAAAGCACGAGTGGCCCGGTGGCCCTTAATTTCCCGGCCTCGGTCGTGGTGGCAGTCAATTTCCAAGGTCGTGCCGCGGCATGATGGCTCGGCGACTTTCTTTGTCTACAGCGATTGCGGCCATACGCGGCATTCTCTTGAACCAGCGTGATTGGATTGGAAATGCAGCCTTCCGCCTTGCACAGCACGCCGATGCCTTTGGTGTGGTATGGATAGCAGAGAAGGTTTCGCTGTTGGTTTTGGTCCCCGCGATGAAGCCCCTGCTTCGACAACCGAATCGAGCAGCACTGCGGGCGGTTCCTCTAACCTTCCCGCCATACTGCACATGCGTCAATGAGGGGAGCGTGCGAATTTCTCTGGAACAAGCCCTTGACGCGCCAGCCCGGGTGGATCCGATAGTCTTTGATGGCATGGGCTACCAAGCTCTTCTTACCTGGGGCTGTGAGGCACCGGCCCACTTGTCGACAAGACAAACCATTTGGGACCCCTTGAACTTTCCCAAAACTATAAGCAACAACGGATTCATACCAGAAATTCAGATATGAACCAAACCTTTGACATTTGAGTCATGTGAAACCAATTCTTTTGGCAATCCTTGAATTACGAGGGCTCCATAAATTTCCAGGCCCGTCAGATTGCTCTCTTATATTGATAGGGTTTCCTTACTAGGTTTCCTTTTGAGCTGAAACCCCTAAAAAAGACCGCATCTGGCTGCATAAACTTTAAACACACCAGCTGTGCTTCCAGCTTTCGGGTAGGTAATCAGGGTTTCATCATTGTAAAACATGGGTCCTGGGATCCCTTACCTCCACAAGGTTGCTTTCTGCTCCCCTGCTAACAGTTTAACTTTAAGTGGTTTAATGGAAAACCCACTAGTTGGCAAAAGGTTAAAGTCCTAACGTCCAAGCAAAATGCACCTCTGTCAAGCGGTAACTGGAAGCACCGGGATTGGGCCAGTCAGCTGTGCCCCACACGTGTCGCGCTCCGGCGCGATGCGCAGCTCCCGCATGGACACCACAGCCTTTCGAAGGCACCGAGTCAAGCCACAGGTCCGGGGCAGGTGCCCCTGACATATACATTATACAGATATGTACATGTGTCTATATATATATATGCATAAAAAAATAATGAGACCTGTATGAATGCTTATACCTATATGCATGCATGTACGTATATAAATGTATATATGTGTATGTGTATGCATGTGTACACATGTAGAATAATTTGTTGTGCACCATTGCAAGTATAGTATTTATTTGTTCAGTTCTTTTTGCCTAGAACTGCCGGTCTAGACACGCGATGGGACTGAGAAGAGCACTAAAGGTTACTCCGGTACCTTCGAGGAGCCCTTGTTTGTCCCCTCCTGGTCCCCTTGTGTCTCGAGCCCCAAATTGACCGTAGGCTTTCCTGAAATGAGCAACTGCCAATGTTATTGGCAGTCTCCTGTCAGTTTGAGGAGGACGAAAAAGGAGGACAACCCAGCGGAGGGCCAACTGGATTTTCAGTTGTCCTTTTGAGGGAAACAAACCAAAATCGTCCCAGCAGGTCAACACATTGGATGCCGAATCCCAATGTGGATTCCACCTCCTCTTGCACTCGGGCATCCAACCCAGGTGATCATCTGTTAAACACGCCATCCCACAACCCCTTTGGGTTTCCCTTTGAAAGCATCAAGGCTACTTCGCACCCAGCAACGCAAATGGTTTGTTTTCCTCTGGTCTCCTTTCACACAATCCCAAGAATCAGCTTCACTCCAACTGGTGGTCTGGATTGGTGCTTTGGTGGTTAGGGGGATACCTGAAAGCAAGGCACCCTCGCCAAAAACACGGCCAATATCCAAGGCCAGGGCTGACAAGATCAGCTGCCAGCGATCCCCGCAGGCAGCCACCTAGTGACTCGGGATGGTTTTGTTTTCCCCTGGAAGGATTCCAGCTGGGGCATGCCTCTGGTCTGGAGGCCAAAAGGAATTTAACATGAACATAAATCTGGGGAACATGAGAACTCAATCGAATTACAAATCAAGATTGGCCTCGCTCGCTATTTGCCCAGACCCGATAAAGACATGGCAAAGTGCCTAAAGGAAGCCAGTTTCAGCTGCGTTTGGTGAACTGCTCGCAATACATCAGGCAGACTCTATGGACAAAAAGCAAGCCCCACTTGCGACTCCGAGTGTGGCGAGTGCTGTACTGTTCAAAGTGCTCGCAAAACCACTAGTTGTGACATTGCGAATTCACAAGGACCCCCAAACACCATCGCTTTTACGAACTTTCGGGACCCCTTGGATTGATCGGTTGATCTGTACGGGTACCTGAAAGCAGCTGGCATCGGGAAACGAACGGCTTAAGCCAAGAATAAGTCACCCGTGGCTGATGCCATAGCCAACAGTCCTGATGCCAAAGCCGTGGGAATCAAGGAATGAGCCCCTAGTTGCTCTGCTTTCCTCCAAACCCTGCAAAGTTTTACTGGTTCCCGCGAAAGGAGATCAGAAGGACATGGGCAAAATGCGAGTTTTCTCTGGTCCCTCCCAAAAGGAACCATGCACTCCGTGCATCCAAAGGGTCCGTTGGCCAAAGCCTTCAGCCGAGGTTTGGGGCTGTGGCAGCTCCAGCGAAGACTCGGCCATCCGCTTGGCTGCAGCTCTTGGCTTCCTGGAGCCGGCACAGAGGGTCCCCGAAACGTGGGCTGCGGGGGGGGGGGGGAGGGGAGGGGTACTTTTTGTTGGGTGGTTTGAAAGGGACATCAACAGAAAACACGCAAAGGTGTGTTGCAAAGGTGTGTTTTATGTCTTTGTTGAGGGGGGGTCGTCCCCTAAAAAAAGGCACACCTAGCATATGTGCAGACTCTATGTCATATTTCGCCCACCCTAACGTTTTAGAAAATAGGGATGCCCAAAAGGCCTGTTGGCTGGTACTCAAAATATGTACATTCATATATCTATCATACTCCCACGTGATCTTCCCAACCTCTCTTTTTTTCCAACCCACTCAGGAGGTTTTGATTGCAGCCATTCCCACTTACCAAGTGACCAGGCAATTTAGCAGTGAAACAAGAGGATAATGCCTCCGAAAACCAACGGGGTGGTTCCGCACCCAGCACCCGGCCCTTCGGTGTGGTACACCAAGACAGCCCGGGGTGTCCAAGCCTCTCACACGCTCCAAGAGTCCCTACCAACCAAGAAGTGGGTGCTGCTCCCGGATAGTTGTTCAGAAAGATGACACTGACTTCGAATCCGGGCTCTTTTCAAGAAGGCCCAAATAAAGAATCTGCCGTTTGCCGGGGGCGCTACTTGGGTTTGCAGAATTCGAAGCAGAAGACAAAACAATCAATAACAAGGTGGGGTGCCAATTTGTGGATGTTTGCGCCGCCTTCTTCATTTTGCCAGGGAAACCGGTTTCGGGTATTGAGCACCCTTTTTCTTTCCCGAGAAACCGAATAACATTTAACAACTTCTTGAAATTGGTACATTAATCGATCACGAACATTACTTCGGTCACGGTCATGGTTCCTTTACTATTACCAGGAGAGGGCGCGCCCGAACCCCGACAAGCAACCCAAAACCCACCCCCCGACAAGAAACCCATCCACCCCCCGACAATTTTTGTTCTTTCACCCCACGACAGGAAATCGCTTTGGGGCCTCCCGATTGCTCAGCCTGGGGGCCTCCCGAAAGCAAAAAGCGATTTTTGGGCTCAAAAAATCGCTTTTGCTCAGCCTGGGGCCTCCCGAAAGCAAAAAGCGATTTTTGGGCTCCAAAAATCGCTTTTGCTCAGCCTGGGGCC